AGCAATGTTGGGAGTGTCCAGCTGGACGGTCTCGTCCCCGAGCTGCAGAAGCGAACCTTGTAGGAGGATGGCTTCCTGAGTTGGCGAGTAAATGGCCGGGAATTGTATGTTGGTGACTGGAGCACCAGTGCAGGCCTCGGCAGGCAGAGTCGAGGTGCACACAACGGCCAGGGCGTCGACACTCAAGCTTGAGTAGGCCTCCAAGAAGGGAAAGGCTTGTTGTGGAGAGCAGAAAGCAACCCCGCATGCTTGGGAAACCACCTCAGAAAAAGCAAGCTGAGCAAGAGGCGAGCCATCTGTGGTCTGAAAAGACCCTGGGACCAATTGCAGGGATTCCGGGTCAACCTGCAAGACAGGCCTGGCAACCTTCGTCTTAGCCTTCTGCTTCTTTTGCCTGGGGTTTTCAACAGCCGCACCGAACCTGGCTGATGCTTTGGACTCGGCTAAAGCCTTGACCTCTTCAGGTCTGACCCATCTGAACATAGCGCCGGGGATGGACCCGGCCGCCTTCAAGGCCTGCCAAACATTGCCAGCGGCAAGTGCGGAGGCGATCGGCCCCGGGCCGAGCCGAACGATAGCATCCTTGATCCGGTCCTTGACTTTGTCTTGTGGGACACCCTTCTCAAGGAGGGTGGACTGCAACTGGCCCTGAAGTTCCTCGGAAAGCCCACCGAACCCATAAAGCAAAGCCTTGTGGAAGGGCATGTGTTTGACAAAGTTCTGAGCATCACTGAGAAAGGAGGGCGTAACAGTCCCACCGGAGAGAGCAACTGCCGCATGGGCAAGGGTGATTGGGCCGCAGTCGTTGGGCCCTGTCTGCTGCCAATTGCAGCCAGCTTGAAAACCTAACAGCTGCGTGCCACAGAGGGCACAAAAGCGGGCGGCAAGAAGTTGCGCGGCTTTCGTGCTGCGTCCTGGCATCCCGTCCAGTTAGCTCCGCCTTCTGTCGCGGTCAACACAAGAAGAGACCAGTGAGCCTGATCAACAAAGGCCAAAAGGCAGAGGTCTGCATAAGGAGGCCAGGCAAAGGTGGCATCACAATGCTCCGGGTGGTCGAGAAGGCTGGTGGCTCTGTGAGGCGGGACCACAAAACATTTGGCGCTTGGCAGAGCAGCCTGAAGTCTCAAGAGGCCGGCCCAAATTGTAATGTCGGAGGTGCCGATAAGGGCCTGAGCATCCTGCCATGTAGGGTCTCTCTGGGAGGCCTTGCTTGAGATGTGCACGCAGTAAGGTGAGTTTCTGGGGTTTGGGCGCAGCAGGACCCCCAAGGGAAGCTCCAGGAAATTACGAAGAACCTGAACCTTGTAGCCAGGGCCGGCCAGTGCTTTCTCGGCCTCAACTAGCTCTTGCACAGGAGTGGGCCCAGGAATGCTTACCTGAGTTAAGGAGCCCTCGAGCTCGATCCATATGGCACCGGGAACTCTCCAGGATGGCAAATCCCAAGTATCGAGGCAGGACTGTTTTAGCAGAGACTTGAACTGACAGACCAGATCCGCAGCGGGAGTGGCAACTTCACTGTTGGGCAAGCAGGCGGCCCAGATCTTCAACTGGCTATAGACCCAGAGGGCTTGCAAGGGGGCTGTGAGGTTGCCAGTGAGGCACAGTGCGGCTCTGGCGTTGGAAACCTGAGCATGGCTTGCCGGCAGACTGTTCAGAAGTCCAACCTCGGCTGCATGTGGGAGCCGAATGCCTTCTAGGGTGCTAGAGTAAACCCCAAAACCACACAGGCCTTGCGTCTCGAGTACTGAGGGAGGAAGACCTTCAGAGCGACAGCCGCATGGGCACGGAGTGAGCACGGCTCCCCAACAATGCAAAGCAGTGGGTGCTTGCTCGTTCAGATCAAGAAGCCGGCAGTCAGCACCGTACCGGGGGTCCGAAAACATCTCAAGTTCTTGGGCGGTCCAGGCAAGAGATTGCTCTACTTCAACCGGCCAGCTAGGGAACTCAGGGAGGACTAAACCGACAAGGGTCCTAGGGGTGCAGGGAGACCAAGGCGGCAAATGCAAAGGTGGAAGGCTGGCAGGCACCAGCACATACCACCAACGGCTTCGTCTGCTTGCCCATTGCTCAGCGAGCTCCAGCTGAACAGAGGAGGCAACGAGGCCTGCTTTCTCGGTGAATGCCTTCAGCAGGTTGTGGGCTTCCGGGCAAGTGGCAAGGTCAACAGCACATTCAAGCAATATGCAATCTGACTGCAGAAGCCAAGCGAGGATCAGCAAGTTATGTAATGCTGTGCAATCCACTTTGCCATCCCTAAGAGGCAGTGTCGGGCTGGCAGCCAGGATGCTGCCAACTCCTGGGTGGGCTCGTAGAATCTCCTCAACTGTTTCCGGACGAGACATGTCGCCCTGCAGTGCTGGTATGTTGTTGCGCTGCAAAGTGTGGCAGGCATCACTGCAACGGTCAACAGCCAAGATGGTTCGGCATCCTGCAAAGGTGGTTCCTGAAGTCATGCCTCCAATGCCCGCGTAGACGTCTCTCAAGCGAAGAATACATCCAAAGTCAAAAAGAGGCTTCCGAAATGCCTGCGACCCAGAAGTCTTCGAAAGAAATGCATGTGAGTCCGTGAGAAGCGTCACCTGGTACCCAATCAGAGTCCAAATGCCTCGAGTCAAATCGTGGCAGACATAGGCGTCCCCATGCCACAAGCCTGTGCAGAGGCCGTCCTCGCCTGGAACTTGAACAACCAGGTTCACCCTCTGACCCAAGGAAAGGGCAGAACACGGAAAGTCCCAACGCAGCGACATGATCGGTCCCTCGAGGTTCTGTAGTGAACAGCTCTACCCCTGGAAGGCAACTCGAGCCCAGAGCTCCCCTACCCTCTTATAACCCAAAATACCCAAAATACCCACTGTTTAAGGACCATAAGGGCTCCATGAAAGGGCCATTTGGGGGGGGGGGGGTCCTGGCTCTCTCCCAGAAACTCCAGTATCCCTTAATTAAGGGATCTACCTTAACTTACATAAGGGATCCTACCATAATTTATGAGGTATATAGCTTCATTTCAGGGATATTAGAATCTCCTAAGCCCTAAACCCTACAGATCCCTTCAAGGAGCCCTTTAAGGAACCCTAAGGAGCAGTCCTTCATTTAAAGGGGATATTGGAGTCTCTGGCTCTCTGAGGTCATCGCCAATGAAACACACGAAGCTGCCAGTGGTAGCCTGAGAGAAAAGGCTCAGGAGACTTCGCTTGGGTTTGGGGTTTATAGGGTTTAGAGTTAGAGTTTAGAGATTAGGGTTTATAGGGTTTAGAGGTTAGAATTTAGGGTTTAGGGTTTCTATCACGGTCTGGAAAGCTTATGATAGAAGGGGCCTCAATAATTACCTATACCATTTTTTTTGGGGGTGGGGTCCTTAGTAGAATTAGAATATAATATATAATGGACCCCAAAACCCGATTCTAATTATTAAGTTGAGGCCCCTGAAGCAACTAACTGTTCCCCCTTTGACATGGCACAGCATTCCTGAAATATAGGGTCTGAAACATTAGTCATTGTATCGCCCTATATAACCACCGGGTTATTACTGGAAAAAGAAAAAACCCATTCTGATGACCAAAGCCCCTGCGCTGGTTTGGGCTCCGCTGAAGCCTGAAACTCTCCAAGCCCTCTATGGAATCATCTGACCATTCGGAGATCAGTGTGGCAAGCTAGGATTTCGGTGCTGTGGATCTGCCAAAAAAGTGGAACGATGAAGTGAGCATACTGCAGTCTGTAAAGTAAAAGAATAAGGCCATAGCGCACTTCCAGAACGGGAGGTGTTGCTGCCAGGTTTCGGGTTGCGGGTTGCTGGAACTTGCGGCTCGAAACAAGGGCCGAGGATTGAAGGCTTAGGGTTTTAGGATCTACGTTTAGGGTTTATGGTCTAGGAGGCTTTGATTTAGGGCTTATTGTGAAGGAAATGCTTCGGAGTTGTTTTATCACCACTTTTCTCATCTGCCAGTCTCTCTTGAGTATCAAGAGGTTAGGTCTTATGCATTTGCCGAATCGCAGCAGGCATTGTTGCTCTGTACAGAGGCTGCATAGCAAGCCAAAACCTAGCTTCGGAGCTTCTCGAAAACAGTATCCCTACTGCCCAATAAGTACATCGAGTTCAAACGGAAGCCGCACGAAACCGCCTCAGCTAAGTACCGACACGGACCGTTTCATATCCCACATTTTGAACCCCAGCATTCCTAAACCCTAAACCGCCCACCCCTAGACGTCCTCACAGCCTGGAAAATCGGACACACGGTCCCTCTGCGACTACGACCAACCCATGCTGCCCCAAGGCTTCGGCCCCGATCAACTCGAAGATCAGATTGATTTGGGGTAAAGCCTTAGCGGCTTAGCGCGCTCGGGCTGCTAAAACTCGAGATTCTGAGGTTTATAGATCTCTGCCGACTGTCTGAAAGCCTGCAGCATGTTGACACAGGATCGCTTGTTGCTGCCGGCAGCAACACGGACCAATGGAAGAACGAGATCCAGGACAACAACCACGCAGATATGCTTCAAACAGGTACCGACAGCCGCCACATGTTTTATATCCGTCCTGTGCAACATCAGGCCCCCAGCAATGGCGACAATAAGGCTTGAAGCGACCGCGCCGACGGCAATGCCTGGCCAAGCATAGAGTGCACGACAAACTGCTGCTGCAGCCACAGTAGCATTTTCGTGGTCGCTACAAAAAACAAGCAGCAGCAAACAGCATCAAAGTGATACTTGTCGGAAACCACTATACGGGCCTATTGTACCAAAGCGAAAATCAGGAACCTCTGATATAGTATAGATAGTTATTCTGGCCCTTAATATTACTTTTCGGAAACTACAAAGCAAGTCTCTGAGGCAGCCCCGGCCGCACCTGTGCGCACGGCGGAACAGTTGAGACTGGGTCTGTGGTAGAACAACGCCGTCTCTACCTTTCAGGTTTAGGGTTTAGGGCCTATAGGGTTTAGGGTTTATAGGGTTTAGGGGGTATAGGGTTTAGAGTTTGGGGTTTACAGGGTTTAGGGTCGGCATCCCTATGTAACTCCGCAAGGAATGGCATGCAAAACAACAGAGAGATCAAATAATTCATTCCTCTTGAAGATGCAAGCCTCTGCAAGAACGCAATACTTACAGCAGTAACAACAACACGTGTGCATCGACAACTTGTGCAGAATCTTGATCCGGCTTGGGGAGCGGGCCGAGAAACGAATTGGGAAAATGTTGAGCGGATACGCCATTGTCACCTTGGATATGGGTTCAATGGATTCAAGATAGTTCAACTGCAAGTGTTGAAAGGGGTTGATGTCGAGGAATATTGTATTCTCGGGCTAGTTGGCCCAAGTTGCTGTTTTCTTGCACGCGGTTCTCGTTTCTGCCAAGTTTGTTTATCAGCTGCCGTTGTTTTGCCACGTCCCGGAAGCAAGGAACCTGATCTCAAGTCCAGAGTTCTCAGGGAATTCGCACACCCTCAAACGAAACGCATACGAGGATCGGCAAAGGCCATGCTGGCCATCCCGGAACGGACCATCCAGTCGTTCGCACAGAGCATAGGCCTCGCACATGAGTGCTTCTCAGAAGTGAAGAAGGCTGCACGAATAATTCCATCCTTTGAGCCATGCACGTGACCGTCGCGAGACTCCGCACGCATCTGTCCCTTCTGAAACTGTCAGGCTCTGGCTGTAAGTTGCCCAAGATATTGCCCAGCGTATCTTCACCGAAGGCCAGGAAGCCAGTGACCTTGCTTAATTAAGTTCTAGCAATTATGTATATGAGAATTCTTTTTGATCTTCGTAATTTTATATCCTGCTATATTACTTTATTATACTGCATGAACATACATCAAAGGTGGAAAACCAAAATAGAGATCCCCGCTCTGGAGGGTTTGGATTCAGATTGGGTGTGCCGTGTAATATACGGGCCCGAATGATGAGAATAGGGTTTTGGGGCCCATTCTACTAGAAATATATTGAGGAACCACCAAAATAGTATAAGGTCATTATTTAGGCGCCTATATTACCTGTGGATTTCCCAAGGCTCGGGTCCGGATGAAGGCTTCCCGTGACTCGTAGCTTAGCTTTGCCCTACACCCTGAACATCCTGAGCAGAACTCCTGTTTGATCATCACCAAAGGCGGAGCCACCCGTTCCAGCCACTTGCAGCAGCGCAACTATCCTCCGCAAAGTAAACCCGAGCCGTCTAAAGCCTGACTCAAAAGTTGTCGCTGGGCTTCCGGCACCCATCATAAGGTATACGACACAACAAAGCAGCATTGCGCCTGGGGGTCGGCCAGGCGTCAAGGGTGTGGTCACATTCGTAAGGTCTACATGGCGTGGCGTTTTGCGCCCAGATCTTTTGGGTTTTGAGGGGGGCAGTACACAGAGAGAGAAAGAGAGGCAGGGAGGGAGAGAGAGAGGGAGAGAGAGAGACCGAGAGAAAGACTAAAAAGAGGGAGAATGTGCCCTACAGCTGGCTTGCAACCCGGATCCGAATCGAAGAAGGTAGTCCTACACCCTAAACCCTACCAAGACTCGATGACGAAAGGCCGACCTGTGCGCTCCCCACAGCCATGGAAACCGTAGCATCCAGGTCGGACCCGGCACAGGAACATGTTCTCCCCGGGACTAGTAACTAGTACGGGTCCCTTTTAACAAACACTATACTGAACTCAGAACCCTAGCAAAAATACATTATTTTAGCTGTTTCTTAGGGATTGTAATAACCAAAAATTAAAAAAAATATTTCTAAGTACCCCTAAGAACACATGACCCCAAAGCCCCATGGTGGGGTTGAGGCCTGGCCTCTGCGCCTGCCTTGCCCTCCCCTGTTCTGCCCTGCCTGGTCGCTGGTGTCTGAAATTGTGCGGCGAGCCGCAGAAAAAGAAAGCGCATTTTGGCATGAGTTTCGACCTGAACCCTAAAAGTTGGCCCGAAAAGGAGTAGGTAGGTTTGGGTGGCTCGGCCGCCTTATACGGCGTGCAGTTGAAGAGAAAGAACCACACGCCTCCCACAAACAGGCTTTCACAGCTCATCGCCAAAGTACGATGAACTCGACACAGCCTTAGTCTAGTTTCAAGATACTGTCGCATTCCAAGGCAAACCCCAAGCCTCAAAGCCTAAACCCGGCTCGGACTGGTTCGGTTGAGCTCCGAGTTTCGGGCGTGTGGAGACTTTCTGCATTCGCTGGTAGCTCTTCTGCTCCAGCCTGGCCGCCAGGCTGGAGCGGTTTAGGGTTTAGGGTTTGGGGTTTAGGGTAGCTCTTCTGCATCCACCCCGGACAAATATTAAACCACACATGCATACATACCTACCTACATGCATACATGCATACATTACACAAGTATATACACACACCTATCTGGCTATCTACTAACCTGAGTGCAAGCTGAGTAAGTAAGCGTATGCGAACATGCACAAACGACGTTGATAATAAGCTTTGTTTATAGTTATGTAACTGCCTGTATGTGCATATGTATGTGTACATGTATATATGTACGTATATGCATATGGCTATGTATATGTCTACGTCTACGTATATGTTGCTGTACATGTATCTGCATGTGTGTAAACTGCTTTCTATAGAGACACAACTAGCTGCTGGCTAGCTAGCTATATATATATATATATATGTACGCATAGGTAGATAGATATGCAGATAGACAGATAGGTGGATGGATAGATGGATCGATATACAGATAGATTGCAGGATAGACAGACAGAAAGATAGAGTAAAAGAGAGATAAAGACCAGACAGGGAGAGGGAGCGAGAGAGAGAGATGGATAGAAATATACGTAGGCAGGTAGGTAGATAGATCGATAGATACATGGATATACAGATAGATGGACAGACGATTGCTAAGTAAGTGGACAGATGATAGGTTCTTAGATACATAAGATGGTCGGTGTACATGTGCACGGATGCATGTTGTATGTACGCGCAAATCGCTTCATGCAATATGTGCCGACAGATAGCTCACCATGGACTTTTTTGACCTGGTGTAGCCAGACACAAGCAGAACTGAAACACATTTTGGAGTAGGCAGCAACTTCCGGCAAAGTTCTTGGTCGGCGCATGACTCCTACGATCCTAGACGCCGACTGTACAATCCGAATACCAAGCTACAGGTATGTAGGCTGTAGAGAGGGGATTCGGTCTCGTGGAAATGGAAAGACCACAGGTGGATCTTGACAAAACAGCTTTACATTTTCCACACATAATTTTACAGTGATGCAATTTTCACGGCTATGCCGGAAGCAGCGCGGCTGCACCAGGAACGCGCACATGCATCTTTTCGGATAATTGCTGTACATATTAATCGCTTAATGATCACGCCGACTAGGACCTGAAGATTTTCATGGGGGAAGCACAAGTTTCCATCAGTTCCTCTCGTTGGGTTATCTCGGGGTGCTGCAGCATCAGCGCCACCTCCCTTGGCGCCTCGGTGACCAAATTTGGCTCCGACTTCTGGGAAGTGGTTCGTACCGTGGTAGAGATCCCCTCCCCGAAGAGCATCTCCAAGTCTAAGCTCGTTCGGCGCCTGACTACTTGGAGAGGTCTGCCCTCGAGGTAACCTGGGCTTTTAAGTAACCAGGGAGAGAAGAGTATAAACTTGTATTTCATCATGGTTCCTTCAAGAAAAGAAGTATATTAAAGTATGGTGCTCCAAAGCCCGGTAACAGGTTATCTGCAAGTAGTAGTCCTGAATGGTCTCCACGGTCTCCGTGCTCGTGATCCTCAAGCGGCTCGGGGGATACCCAGTCAACCAAAGCCTCCAGGCTTCCCAGTCTTTAAGTTTCAGAGCTGGCCTCGAGACACAAGGGTTCAGGGGTCCGGGTCGTGCGATGGCAGCCACGAGCCCTGTGGACAAGAGGGCCCCCAGGAGCTGCCCAAGCAAGTACTGCGGTGCCAGCTCTTCCTTGCAGCCAAAGATCACGATGGGCCCTACCATGCGAGCCGGATTCAGTGAAGCCCCGGTGTACTGCCCGCCAGAGCCCGCGCACGCCGCCATGGCCAAGCCAGCCACCAGCGGAGCAAAGCTGCCGCAAGCTGCAGGCGTGTCCAAGCCACACATGAGGAAGCTGGACATAAACATACAGGTCATCAGACATTCCCACCCGATGATCATGCTGTTAGTTACGCCTGACGGAACTGTCGACCGATCAAGACATCCTGGGCCAGTGACACCGGCAAGAAAGAACCGGTCGCTGTTTGGGAACAAAGCCTGCGCAAAGAGCGCACCCAGGATTCCGCCCAAGCATTGCATCGTGCAGTACATGATGGTATGAAGCCATGGATGATATCCCAATGCAGCCGTGCTCAAGCTTACCAGCGGGTTTAGGTGGCCGCCTGAAGCATGCCCGGACATGAAAACGAGCGCGGCAAGCGTGAGCCCTTGCAGAACTGGTGCGAAGTCTTCCGGAGCCGTGTGCGTAGCGAGCTGGAAGAAAGCGACGCAGAAGAGTTCTGCAGCCAGGGAGAGACTCAATGCTCTGCTCTTCATCGCCTTATAGTTGAATAGGATACATTGCTTGTTCGGTGCAGTCATGGCCCTCGAAGGAAGATCCGATAGGAGCCAGATGGACCATTCAAGTTAGAAGCTTTGCGCTACCGGAACATCTGTCTGCTGCACTTACTGGAATATCCTCTACCGGGTCATGGCTTAGGGTGTGAGGTTCATGTCATTATATTCATTCAACATAAGGAAAGGTTACGACTTGAGCAGCTAAGCTGCAGAATGATGTGCAGTGCACATGATCAAACTGGCGCCCGGATATCTTAGTTGAACCACAGGTTGTAATGACAGCTTTTCAACTGAGCACGCATCTACCGTGATATTTTTGAACAGTTGCATCAGGCCACGGCAACAGTCACACACCCTGGCTGAGTGTCCCGCTCGGTGTAAATCGAGGGTACATTTGGCCTGCACTAAGTGATAGGTTTGAAGGTTAGGGTTTAGGGTTAAACTAAGCAGAAAGATCCTCTTTGAGGAGCACGAAGTTTGAGGTGCCGCAAAAGGCAGAAGCGAGCCTTACATATTTCGTGCGCTTTCAACAAGCAGGCTTACTGGAACCATATGTTTGAGTCTCAGATGCGCCAGAGTCACACGACCCATACTAAGCGCAACAACCCGCGAAATGAACAATGCCGTAAACTATGCGCGATTATCCACGGAAGCTGTTTGCACGATGGCATATACATTTATCAGTGTGTACCTACATACGTAGGTATGAACACATCCATCCATCCATCCATCCATCCACCCACCCACCCAGCCATCCATCCACCCACACATACATGCAAGTGGATGTAGTTAGATGTGTATGTGTATGTGTGTGTGTGTGTGAGTGCCTATATGTAAAAATAGCTGCACCTGCATTTGCAAATATGCTATCGACGAGAGTTACTTGACGATAGTTGATATCTGATATGCACCCATGTATCGTCCTCTGCACAAGTGTGCGTGTAACCATCAGCACCACAAGAAAAAACATATAGCATTCAACATGCATGCGTGAATTGCATACCTATCATGTGGATGCTTGCAGGGCTGCATGAAACCATGATGTTCCGCACAAAGACAAGAACATGCAGAAGAAACAAAACATGAGATGCGAACCCTCGCAATGCAGCACCCTCCGCACGCTGTCTGTCTGGTTCGTAGTGGAATGGGGGAATGAATCCCTATGATAGCCCCTTAAGGTCCCCTATAAAGTAGTCCCAACTACTAAGAACCAGACAGCTGTGCTCCACTGAGCTCCAGGCTGGCAGCAAAAGGCAAATATTGAGAGCGACAGCATCTTGAAGCAGCCTCTACTGCAAGAGCAGCTCGTCTGAATAGTTATCGTTGGCAAAAGGCGTTATTCTGGATATTCTGGTTAAACCATGACAATGGCGATGGTAATCGCTGGTATGATCGTGGCAACGGTCCTGCAGCAGCTGCCGTGTGATCTCTACTGTACAGCCACCATGCTTGCGTGCCTAGGAGGCAATTACCAGGCTCAGAAGGGCCAACATTGACATTAAAACAGTCGCGAATCGCAACTGTGAACCCGAGCCACGGCGAAGAAGATTCCACACTTATCCTTTCGGTGTAGTTAGCCAACATGAAACTGGTTGGTTCTCAGAACACAATTAGCGCATAGGTTGTGAAAGTGCACATGAAAATGCCAAGCTGAAACAACCCTGCCTGTGATGCCACCCTTGGGACTCAAAGCAGCGAAATTGTTTGAGTCAGTCAGCCTGGCACAAGGATCAGGGTCTGGCACAGGATGATGCTCCAAGAGAAACATATCGGCTCAAATAATTGTCAATACTATTTGGGGGGGTCCTTACTTGCTTAAAAGTATTCTATGCCCCAGTATGATATACCCCAAAGCCCCTATGGTACTGAAGTACCAATGCAGAATCCAAAAGGCCATTCGACTGTTAAATCGTTCTAACACCCCAGAACTCGTCAAGCACAATGCAGCGGAGCTCACAGAGCATTGCGGGCACTGCGATCGGAAAGGATTCGAAGCTCTCATGTGTAATAGGCATGAATTACGAGCATGAGCTGTCTATTCGCACCACTGACATGCTGATCATTCATGCCACCAGCATGATGAAGGCTACTACGACGAAGGCTGACGGAACTGGACGTGTTACGAGCTCTCTTAAGGAGAAGGTCGAGGCTACATGATTTCGTTCCTGAGCTTCTTCGCATGAAGGATACTTTACTATACTGAACTCAGAACCCTAGCAACAATTAAAATTTTAGCTGTTTCTTAGGGATTTACCCCTAAGTTTATAGTTGAGAGGCTCAGGGTTCAGAGTTTAGGGGTCCAGTGTTGTTGAAGCCCTCTTCGAGACTTTCAAAAGAGTCTCCCCTCATGGGTTGTGGGTTATACAGGGGCCTGAATATAGTTAGAATAGGGTTTTGGGGGGATACTAAACCATACTCATAAGAAGGAACCCCAAAACTCTGTTCTGATTATTAAGGTCCGTTGTATTAGGTCCGTCTTCGTCTGGACTTTGCAAAGGGAGGGCTGCTTTCTCAGGAATTCAACTGCAAGCACCTGGGGTTGATTCAGCAGGGTTTAGGGTTAGCTTGCGTTCAGAATGCCCTTCACTTGCATGAGCAAAGGCTAGACACTTTTGAAAGGCAAGCCGCGTTGGACTAATGCTCTGCTTTGCAAACACGTAGAGGACGACCAGGATGAGGTACCTTGCACGACCATCCACTGAAGCCGTGGTAGCCAGACATCTCCTTCTGCAGAACGCATAGTGAAACTCCTGAACAGCGAACTCAACTCCCCTTCGGAAGACAACCAGTGGCCTCACCCTACCACCATGCCGATACACCAAAGGAGCAAGCAAAGCCATCACGCTGATGGCGAAAGAACTACATATCATCTCACAGCCATTTTGGACATCCTCTTCTTTCCTTTCCGTGCGTTTCGAGAAATTCTGATCCTGGACCTGAGACGTCCCTCGTGAATGCAGAAAAGCGGCAGGATGCAAGTAACGCCAGCCAGAGAGGCGAAGCGAAGGTCGTTTATACCTTACTTGGAGGTTCATGGGTATAGTTTTAAGTAGGCTTATACGTCGGGTGACTATCCTTATAACTTACAACCCATATTCGGGGACTTAAAACTCCACTTATGGCTACCCATGAACCTCCAAGTAGTGCAACACATCCACCTGCTATGTTGGCGTGTCCATGTCTCTGTATGAACCTGCTTGAGCGATTGGAGCCATAAAGCTTTAATGTCAGGAGCACAGGTGCGATTTCTACGACTCTACGACCTCGACCTTGCGAAGCAAGGGCTTCATGCAATCGCTACGCACCATTTGGTAAGCAGACAGGAACTTTGGCGGCTCATCTCAAACAGTCCCCGTATGATCCGGTATCATCTCATCACTCTCGTTGATTTCTGCGACAGACCCAGATTCCAAGTTTCATCGAGGCACTGTCAAGAAGAGACAGGGGAAGGAGCACGAGCGCAGTGGTCCACAGCAGCACGGTGTTCGACTGCGTCAAGGAACCTGATCTGCAATATAGGGGCCTTAATAATTTGAATAAGGCTTTGGGGCCCATTGTAGTACAATTTTGATAAGGACACCCCCCAAAACAAAAATTGTATGGGTAAGTATTTTGGCCTCTAACTAACAGAACTGTATCAGCCACGCTGTAAAGCAAATTTACAAACTTACGGTGATCGCCAAGCTTAGAGGGAGTACTTCGAATTACAGTGTGCGTCATTTGGCTTTCGGACGTCCCGTTCAGTGCAACGGCGGGTATCCAATTGCAACGTATGCCGTCTTGCCTCGTCTAGATGCTCTAGGACTGTGATGAATTTCGCACACTCTTCGATGCTGCATGCTGTGCTGACCCTAAACCCTAAACCATGAACTCTGGCCTCCACAGGCCCCACACCCCCACCCCAAAACTGCCCGACCCCGTGGAAGCATCCAGAACCTAAGCCCCAAGTGCGAATCTCGAATCCTCGCCCAGGCGGCTGAAGACATGGGAACAGTTCAAGTTCTACACCCGAAAAATCCCCTACACGAAGCCCTAGCATCTTCAACCCCAAACCCTCTTCGCCCACGAACTCTTCTGTGTGAGCAGGGGGCTAAGCCATGACCCGGGTGGGGCATCGCCGAAGGCTGCGTCGAGCACCTGTCGCCCGGGATTTCAACTTCTTTGGGCTCCGTGGCTTCCAACTTTGCAGGGTTTAGGGTGGCTGCCCAGTACACGAAGTAGAGGGTCGAAGCCGGCAGTGACTTTTTCTCAGGAAGCGGCGAAGCAGCAAAGGGCTTGGTCTTAGGGCTAAGTCTGAACTCTGCTGTATATCTGCGATTATGATAAAGGTCTACCTTTAGGGTCATGCCCGGGATACCTCCTAATTTTATGGGTGGAGTTTGTTATGTAGCAAACTAGGTACCCTGAATTACAAGGGTAGGGCATGACCCTAGAGGTACAGTTTATGAAGCCTGCAGCTGCTGCTTGGAGCCGTCTCTCCCCAGAAGCTCCTCACACTCGAACCCTACACTAAATAGATGTGATAACCTACAAAAAGAGAAACGGCTGGTCCCCAAGCCCCCTGGGCCTGATGAGAAACCTGGCCCACGGTGATCATGTAGGCAACGGCAGTGCCAAAGCAAAACAAAACGATGTTAACCTGCCACGGTGCAAGGTTTAGGATTGATGTTGGGTTTGGGGAAACCTTCCCCAACCCCGAACCCGAATTGAAGGACCTGCTTCTCCCTGCAAAGACGGACCACTGCTTAAGCGGATTGTCTCACCCGTGGAAGCATGGATAGTTGGACTACTCTCCATGTAATTATGAGCGAAATCACCAACTCTGACACTAGGACCCATCTGGTGGCTCTATGCTTGCAGCAAACTCGGCTGCAAGCCTTCTGACTTGAGGTTCAGATGGGGTTTAGGGTTTAGGGTTGTAGGGGTTTAGGGTTGAGGTGGTACTTCTGGCTCGGGCGAGAATTCAGCCCTGAGCGAGCTGAGATGAGCTGAGCCTTGCTCGTTTCCGGTGCACCCGAGTTCTGCTACGAATCAGCACTGCAATTCTATATATATATATATATATATATGTATATGTGTATATGTATACATGTATGTAATGACATACATAATATATATATATATATATATAATATATATATATATATATATATATATGCATAGATATGTCTGTAATTATATACATACAGGCTTCAGACGCTTGTACCTTTAGCACGTCACGCTCTTCTGCCCGGCCTCGACCAGTAAAGCAAACCACGGTCCTGAATCCGCTCTGGAAACTTCGAGGTGGCAGGGGTTTAGAGTTTAGGGTTTAGAGTTCAGGGTTTAGTTGCACAAACACAGCTTGGGCTGTTCTTCGTTCTTCGAACTAGGTGCTTTTCTGTCCTCTAAATGCCCACATTCGGGTCCCGTGTTATTCGAAACTACCGTCACAACGGCCAAACAAGGGTCAGACGAGGGTTTGTGTATGCTCCTGCCATAGGTGTATCACACTGTAGGGGCCTTAATAGTTAGAATAGGGTTTTGGGGTTATATTACACTATAATCAAAATCAGGAGCCCCCGAAAATAGTATATATAGGTAACTATTGAGGCCCCTATAGTATGCCTGGGAAGCCCAGGAGGCTCCCCATCGCCCAGAATCATAGCACCTTCAGCTTGGCAAACGGTTTAGGGAATGTATGTGGCACAATTGTGGCATGGGGCCCGAAGAAAGAGCCGAAATAGTACATTGCTAATTATTCAGGCTTCTATCATATCTTAGCCTGAGTCCTGGCGCCTCCCTCCGAAATCTGGCTAGCTCGAAAAGCTTCAGGGCCTCGCTGATTGAAACCCTGGAACCCAATAGCCTTGCCCTCAAACAGAACACGAAGCACTAAATGCAAAAGTCGATACTACAGACCGCTAAAACCCCCTAAAAAACTGGGACTCGAGCCGATCGCTTCTTTGGCGATCTCCTGCCACGACTCAGACACTAAATGCCTGCTGAACACGTGCTTCTGCTGCAACAACAAAACAAATGGGAGAAAAAACATCATGTGCAAACGCCAGCGCTATCACTCCCAGTCCCAATCCCACTACCACCGACGACGCTGGACCTGCTACTTCTACTGCACATTAAGCTGTAGCATACCATTGCAGCTGGGAGTACATACGACTAGGTCTAAGGCGACAAGGACGACTACCACCGCCATCGATACCACAGTTAGTGCCAGTTCTCTTCCTCGCTGCGTCAAGCCTTGCGAGTAAAAAACAAATCTCCGTGCATCGATGACAGTGCTAAAGTCGAGACCAACAAACCCTGAACTCCAAACCGATCCTCGTAGGAGTCTTTCCCGGATAGCTCAACGAGCTGTACGATAAGGCGGATGCTCATAATGGACAAGACCGCCAGAATGATCATTAGCCTCGGTTTACGGATATAAGATTTCAGGGTTTGGGGTTAAGGGCTTGGGGTTTTGCTTATCAAAGCGCAGTGGCCTTTGCTATACCCTTTTGTTCTCATAATCCTGAGAGTTGCTGTCGATGTTTGCTGTTGTGCCGTTTACTCTAGTAGTCGTCGTCGAAGTCGCAGTAGTACCAGGTGCACGGGGAGTGGCAGCAGCAGCTGGTGACGGTAGAAGTGGCTTGTGCTTTAAGTATTAGTACTGCCATAGCATTTGCCTTGTGTCTGTTCTAGTTGTGGTAGCAGCGCGTGTGGGAATAGGGCATAGGGGTTAGCGATGTTTGTTACAGTCCTGTAACAGTGTCAGCCAAGCGGCAGTGGCCCCCACAAAATGCCTGAGTAGTACCTCGGCTCGAGACTTCATCCAAGAAGCAAGGAACAACTCCCATGTCCCGCCTGTGCAGATCCGCCCGCACGTTATGCTACAGTAAATGAGATAAACCCTGAAATCCAGCAGCTCCCAAGACTCCGGCCCACTACACCACAACACCCAGCAACGCTGACCCGCCCATGCTTCCAGCACGTCAGGCAGCTCTACGGAACCCATAAGCCCCACGTTGCGCACAGCTGAACCCTGCATCGAAGACCCCAGGCTAAAACACAAAAGCTCGACCGAAAGCCTAGCATAATACAGGCGCCCTAATCATTTCAATAGGGTTTGGGGGGATATTATACTATATTTATAACATGGACTCCCCCCCCCCAAAAAAAATAGTATAGGTACTATTTAGGCCGTATATTAATCCCTAAACCCCTAAACCCTAAGTAGTCAGGGCCGTAGCTTGCTGGGAGCCCCGGCATAGCTCGGGGGAGCGAAAGGGCGCCCGCTCCGAGGGCTGCGGCCGCGATGTTCACGATGCCTCGAAGCAGAAAAGGGGAGTTTCCGAAAATTAGGGGAACCTTATTTTGGGGTCCTTATAGTAAGGATCCTCCTATTTAGGTCACCATATTGAGGTCGCCTATATTCGGAAACTCCCAAATGAGTTCCACGAGGTCACTATAAACAGGTGCTGTAAGGTCCTGTATCAATCCAAGGGAGCCGAGATGTAGGATTCCGAAAAGATTCAGAAGATAATCCTTAATGTGAAAGTTTCTCGGGCATAGCGCTTCGGAGCTTTCATGGGCGCTCCTTCAAGCTCAATATTGATGGATCTCGAGCCTGGTGAGCTGGGCGGGAAGCCCAGAAATTTCAGCAAAAATCGGAACGCCGGGTCCGATGGGCACTGCGTGAACTTCGCTGACCAAACACGTGCATGGTGGGATCACGCAGGAGGATACCATGATGCCTGGAAAATGTTTCTGTGCAAACTCGAAGACTGCCTGCTTCGTATGCAAGGTTCCCAAAGAGAAGCAAATCAGATCAAATCGAAACCACTCATCGCTCTCTCACGCACTCATGACTTGTTCCCCACTCACTCACCTCACGCACTACTTCATTATGTGCATCAGCGTCCACGTGAGCCAAGTGGCTGCTTCGCAGCGAGCCGCGACGGAAGAAACCCCGACTTGCCGGCTGTGACTTCGTTTTCGCAACGGCCTCAAGTGCCACGAGGACAGATTGCCGCTCATGTGAGGTCTGTCTTGTAAACCCAAACATGTCGTACCATTCACAAAAACGTTCCAAACCCAAACTTGAAGCCCTAATACAGGAACCTTATTAATTAGAATAGGGTTTTGCCTGAATACTATAGTTATCATAAAGAACCCAACATTAACAGCTGTAACGCCTGAGCTGGGCACGGGTGTGATAGCATCTCCGACTGGCAGGCGAAGACGGGAAGTAGGAGAGGGATCCGAGACTGGCCCGGCTCCTGGCGGCCCGCCATGCTATGCAATATAATATAATACACTACAGTATGAGATGATCGAATCTATTCTATCATGCGTTTCAAATGTAATGAATCATAACATAGAAACATATGATACAATGTGGCATACTTTGATATATGGTAATATAATACTGCAGAATGAGTATGTAAGATTACATAGTATAAACTAGCCTCATGTAATTAAATATGGTGTAATGGGGTATGTTAACACTATAGAGCATTATCTTGTAGTTTTGTTTGTGCTATGTTTGCTACACAGTCGAGGATCCTCCCTCCCACCCTCCATCCCTCTCACTCGAACTCTCTTTCACCCTCGCCCTAAACCCCTAAAACCCCTAACCCCATCTCAAAACCACAACCACTCCCACTGACCCTCTCACTCTGCCTCTCTGTTGTGTTCTCCGGGGCGTAGGGGGCTGTCCCTCTCTGTCTCTCTGTGGTTCTTCTCCCCCGTTATGACACAATATGAGTCTCAAACTGTCTAGATCTGTTCACCCACCCTCTTCGTCCAAATATTGTTCAAGATGCCTGCATGTGCATGTGAGCGCAAATTTAGTATCATGCTTCCGGACTGAAGGCTTTTCCATTGATGGAGCCCGACATGTCGGAACATCAAGTAGCATGGCACCGCAACAACAACCACATGACCATGTGAAGGTGCATGCGCACACAGACAGACAGATAACACACACGCTCTCGCTGTCTGTCGGTCTCTGTCGATCTCGCTGTCTTTCTGTGCGTCTGTGTTTCGGTCTGTCTATCTGTCTGTCTGCTTCGTCATTCTTTGTATCTAGTATTTTCTATCGATCTAACTGCCTACCTATCTTTCTTATTTCTACACCTACAGGTGCCAAGAGAGAGAGAGAGAGTTCAAGCGGGAGAGACGGACACAGTACGTTTTCCAACCTCGACATGTTCAGGAAAAACCCTTGAAGCTAAACAGGCGTCGAAGCCAATGCTCCGTAGACTGTCTTCATGCCATCTCTCCAACATTCCTTTTAGGCACCTTGCAGCAACCCCTATGATACACTTACACTCATACTCACCCTGCGTGTGTAAACCTCTTGGAACCCTTGACAGGGGACCTGATCCTGGTGGAGCTTGTCGACGAGCACCTTGCACTAGTCAGCTGCAGGGGGCTTGTTTAGCTCAGTTTGAATTAACGGCAAGAGTATCCCGTAGTAGTACCTTTCTACCTTTCCTATAAACTACTCCAAACCCTTCTGCTAGTCATATTTCTATACGAGGCTCCGATACTCAACCCTTCAAAAATCCTTTACAACCCCATTCCAAAAATTGAGGCTCATTTATGAGATGCCTTTCGAAGGATCTTAAGGGTTTAGGATTTAGGGCCGGGCTTAAGGCACTGTTTAGGTTTAGGACTTAGGATATGCAGCGAACCCGCAAGTTTACTTGGACAGAATTTCAGAACACCGCCTTAGGGCTTGGCATGGGATGAGCACTCCTCCCTGGTGCTTAGCAGGGAATGGGGGAATGGGGTATGGGGACTACTATTACTATTGGGGATTATGTAGGCGCTACTAGATGGATCATGACCCTAAACCCTAAACCCCAAAACCCGAAACCTTTAAACCCCCAAACCCCTAAACCCCAAAACCACAAAACCCCAAAATCGCTAAACCCCTAAAACCCTAAACCCTAAACCCCTAAAGCAAGGATCTGCAGGTGCTGGGCAATGGACCCAAGGGGAACTAATTAGCTGTAATGTAGGGCCTTAACGATTAGAATAGAGCTTCCTTTAAAGGGCTGCTTATAAGAGCTACTACAAGGGATACGATAAGGGCGTAATACAGGGGCCTTAATAATTAGAATAGGGTTATGGGCCCATTATACTGTAGTTATAATAAGGAACCCCCAAAATGGTGTAGGTACTTATTTAGGCCCCTCTACTACGCATCGACTCTGCTTTGAAGCTGCCGGCAACACTGAATACGATACGAACAGGACCAGGAACCTGTCCGTGGTCTACTTGCCCCACTTGGAGGTTCATGGGTAGTTATAAATAGGGTTATAAGTCCCTTAATATGGGCTATGACCGTAGTTACCCTACTTATAACCCCAATTATAACTATCCATGAACCTCCAAGCAGGACATCATGAGGTTCAGTCCTGAATCTGAAGAGCTGAAGCACTGAGCACTAATATAGGGGCCCTCTAAACAGAAAATGGTCTTGGGTCATATGATGAACAGTTCTAAGGAACAAACTTCTAAACATAACAGCCCCTGACCCCAATGGTTCAGAGTTTAGGGCTTAGGGCCCTGACTTCCTGACCTTCGTCGGACCCTACCTACCTCACAAAGCCCCAGATCTTCAACCGTGAGGCCTGTCCCCGGTCGATCCCAAAGGAGAATGGGCACCAGATTCGGAACGTAGCCGCCTTGCACCAGTCGGTCCTTTGAAGGGGCCGGCAATCTGCTGTCTAGGCGAGTACAACTACTTGGAGGCGCATGGGTAGTTATAAGTGGGGCCATAAGTCCCTTGATATGGGTTGTAGTTATAGTTACCCTACTTCTACCCCCACTTACAACTACCCATGAACCTCCGCTTATAGAACCCTTGTAGAGCCCTTGTAGAAGTGCAACAGGACGAGCTGCGACCATAGAACTCTCGACACGGCTCCCTGCTTGGAGGGTCGGGGGACTTAGTAAGTAGGTAGTAAGTAGACTTATAAGTACCCTAACAGGGACCTTAATTGGGATTATGGTACCTATAAGTCCCTAAAACACCAGTTACTAAGTCCCCCGACCCTCCAAGATCCTCCAAGTAGGGGCCTTGCTAACCAGAATAGGGCTCCCTGAAAAAGCTACTATAAAGGATACTATAAGGGCTTAATATGGGGGCCTTAATAATTTGAATAGGGTTTTTCGGTATATGATACTATAACTAAAGTGAGGAACCCAAAGGAATAATATTGATAACTGTCCAGGCTTCCATATTAAAGTTGTGGGTTTCTGGCTTGCAGTGTGGAAGAACGGCAAAATTGTCCGGGACCAAAGTTAAGTGCAACATAACAAACATCTGTCACATAGCAGCCACCACACGCAAAGCTGAGTTCAACGTAATAGACAGCTAAAGCCGTTTGCGCATGGCTTCACACGTCGCCCGCGTGCTCCATCGCGCCCTCTAAGGATTCTACGGAATCCGACTCTACGTCGCTTTGCATGCCGTCCCTCATAGGATCCATGCCCAAACACGGATATGCTGAACGGTTTCAGTGGCTGACCATGGAGTGTGTACGATCAGATGCTGTGGCAATGCTAATCGCTACCGGACGGGAAAATATCTCAGCGAAAGCTCCCCACTACCGTTGTCGCACGTTACAGGCATGGCAGGCTACAGATGCGCTGATGTGCCCATCCTCCGAGAAGCAGTCCATAAGGCAATCACAATCACGGCCGGCTCTAGCAACGTGTCTCAGTGTATCACCGGTACTCATATAGGTCCTTGACAAAGGCTACCATCAGGTACAAGAAACCAAGAAAAGTACGTGCAAACACATTATGGGCACATGTTTTGTACATGTAAGTGTAGTTGCAGGTCCCTGTCTCATGATGATTTAACGTGTCCCATCACGCATTTAGCAATGCGTACTTTCCAACTTACTTTCCAACTTTCAAGGCATAGATCAAAGGCGTGCATACATACATACATAAACATGTAGAACTATTCTGAAACATATGTGCAGGTATGTATGCAAGCGCGTATACATGTAATATATATATATATATATATATATATATATGTATAGGCGTGTATATATATATATATATATATATATATATATATATAGATGGTGCATAATTGGATACACATGTGTATGTGTGTATGTGTCTGTACCTGTGTATATATATATATATAAACATTTGTATATGCAAATGTATATGTGCATGCATGTTTGTATGTCTATGTATACATACATGGAAATGTTTATATAGATTTATATAGAGGTAGATATGCTAGTAAGTATATTCATGCATCTGCACACACCTTCCTCTGTCTACTAAGGGCCGTGCCTGCGACAAGTGCCTCAGGTACTCCTCCTGGATCGCTGCAACGCTGTGGTCACCGTCCTCCCAGAACTCTCACTGAGGCCGCTGCGGCAGAAAGGTTTAGGGTTCAGGGTTTAGGATTTTGTTGGGGGGTGCCCTTGGGTTTAGGGTTGATGGTGCAGGAGTAGAACTCCTCCCTTCATCCATCTTCAGAGCCAGAGCATGACCCAGCCAAGGCCATGCAAGGATATGAGGATGTATCGCACAATGACAACCTAGCGAGCGGTCGAACAGGAAGAACGGCTAATTATAGTACAACAGATGCACAGATGTTTTACAGTTAAACCAATATCCAAATATAAATATGTGTATATATATACATATGTATGTATGTATGTATGAATGTATGCATATATGTACGTATGTATGCATGTATGCCGTTGATGTTGGCACGTACTTTTTCGAGCCGACGCTACCTGCACGACAGGTCGATGGTGATGGTACAAGTGAACTCATGGTGGTCGACCAGAAACAAAAGTGTATATATGTGACGTTACATACGTGCATGTATACATATATACCTATAAATGTATATGTGCATGCATCTACATACATACATACATGCATACATATATCTATACATATATATATATATACGCATACATATACATTTACATATACATATGCAAACACATACATACTTACATACATACATGCATACATACATACAGATATATATATATATATATATATACACACGAGTATCACTGTATGTAAGTTCGTGGATTTGCAAAACTATGTGTGATGTACATAGTAATGCAAGGCCAAGGGCCTTACACGGGCGCTGCCATTATTTGCCCCGCAAGCATGCAGCTTGAAGGTCATGAAACCTTATTTTCGGGGTTCCTTATGATAATAATTAATATTGTAATGGGCCCCAAAACCCTATTCTGACTGTTCTGGCTCCCATAATATTAGGAGCCTGGCCTCTCTTTGTCCGGGCGGTAGCAGGCCATGGGTCAGCTGCGACTGGGCAGAGTGTTCACAGCAGCGGTTGGGCAGCTCTACCCCCCGGCAGGGAAACCCCTGTGACGCACGATGACGACGACAACCATCGCGTATCGCCGCTGCTTTTATCGGATCATGATGATACATGTCATCAAGGTCAAGAAACTTCCACGGTTTTATATTCCCATGTCTGCGTCGAGCCTCATGCCAACATGCCTCGCGGCAGCCACAAGCCTCGCGCAACCTGAATCCTGATCATGCGCCTCCATGTTCCCGAGCATCCCAACAACTCAGATCTCTCCACCAGAACTGAAAAGCCTAAATCCTCAACCCTGCATTAAAGCATACACTTAAGATCTTGCAGTTAGTAGACCTCCCCATCACACCCAGGCCTCCAGGACGCTGGGAGCACTCGGATACGCCGGGTTCATGCTTTAAGGTTTAGGGGCCAAGGCCCTTCAAGCAACTTTGGATTTCGTCGTCCCCACATGCATCCATGCGACTCTAGTTCCGGCTATGACCGGTGACTCTGGCCATAGCTGCTCGACAAATCTCAATACTTGTGCTAATGCTACTGTACGACATAGTTATGTGAACAATTTTCCTAAGTCATTAGGTGTATACTGTAATATGCCCCCAAGCCCAAGCCCTATGTTCTGATTGTTCAGGCCCTTGTGAGGATTTGATTGCGGCGCTTCTTGCTGCTGTGGAATGCTGCTCATTGTAGGCTTGTGTCTTCTCAGAACCACTACTGCCTGCTTTGTTGTCGTGCGTGCCACATACCAAAAGAAAGTATCAAGTGGCCAAGGATATGTTGGTTTTACGACCATGTTCGCTTGGGTCTCACAGCGTATGTGCAGCCAGAAATGCTGCAACAGGCAACACAGCACATTCGGTGGGTTATCGCAGCTTGAGCTCCTTACCCGAAAACTCAAACATGACCAAAGCTTTTTTGTTACGGGGCGGAGCATGAAGTAAGCTCAGAACGATCATCAACATGCTAGTGGTGACTAGCACGGCGATGCAAATGCTAGTGAAGTCTGGGATGATAACTGCTGTCATAATTAGCATTACTATGCTGCAGAATGCTTTTTTCCACGACGGCCTCATAATCTGTAATGCAATCAAGGTGCTGATGATACTGGCGATGTTGCTGGTGCAGATGACCAGCAGGACTGTAATGTGAACGAATGGAGTTTCTTCATGCTGCTCTGCTTGTGGGTATTAGCATCAGTTAGCAAACAACAGCCGCAGTTGTGCTACTCGTAGATAGCAGCCTGCCATGTGTAACAACGGCATTGGCAGTTTTCGTGGCAGGAGAAGTACGAGGTCGGAGTCGCAGCGGTGTCAAGTGGAGTGATAATCTCCGGAGGAGAGGTTACAAAATGGTCGCCAGCACCATCGCCAAGATTCCCACCGCGAATGTCAGCTAAATCGGCTCTGCCGTCCTGCGAAGAACTACAACAAACCGCAAGGTGACCCTAACCCAGGGCCCTGGTATGGAACCTTGACTCTGCGTTTCCCGTCCCCTCCAGAAACCAAGGAACTCGAATCCTTGCTCTGGGGCGCGTACCTACCTTTTTGTATGGAGCCGGTCCTTCGTCAAGGATACGGAGACGATTTGAGTTACAGTGTTGCATGGGTGTGTCCGAAGTTAGGGGTACCTTTTGGGGTCCTTACAGTAAGGACCCTACTATACAGGGTACTATATTAGGGTCCCCCCCATTTTCGGAAACTCCCATTTGAGTTACGTTGTTACATCTTTTCTCCTATGTCTCTAGAAGGATGCACGGACTGCAACTGATCTGCAGACTGCGGGCTGCGAACTGCTCCGAGGTTGAGGCTTCAGGTCGACCTTGCTGCAATCAACACCTCCGCCGTGCAGGGCTTTCTGAGAGCTTGGTCCGGGACAAACCTTTAGGGTTTAGGGTTTAGGGGTTTAGGGGTTTAGGGGTTTAGGGTTTTGGGTTTAGGGGTTTAGGGTGTAGGGTTTAGGGGTTTAGGGTTGAGGGTTTAGGGTGTCCGGTATCTTCTCTGTAGCATCTGCTTGGGACGCGGACCTCGTATCGCGCTCGACGTGAAGTTTCTGACCAGCAGTTTCAGTTGGGCCTGTGCAGCATCGGGTTTTGGAACGACTGACTTGCTGCAGCTGGGTGGGGAAAAGGTTCCCACAAGCTGGTGACACGAGAAGCTATTGCTACGTGATAGACACTGCAAGCCAGGTTATGTTTGGCCACAGGTGCAGGGTGGAGATGTGTAGACTCCCAGCATGTGCATTACAATCTGGCAGCGCTCTTAGCTACAGTCATAGAATAGACTGCTTGACTAGCACATAGTGTAATCAACTACACTTTTTTGTACTATACAATTTTCTACTACAACACACTGTCATCTGCAGAAGGTACCTTCTCCTCTTTTCTCACATCCTCGGGGATCCTGATGGGAAGCTCACCTGCGCAGCGCAGATGAGCGCTCGGCTTGAGGGCTTCGACTCGGCTTCGGGTTGGGCTGTTCATGTGTCAGAGGCCGTGAACGACAAGTAGCTCTCAACAGACTCACAGTTCCGAAATCTATATATTCTCCGACTCTTTCCCTGAGGGCAGCATTTTCTCTCGCAGCTCTCGCTTGCGGCGATCGCCATGCTCCAGGATCAGGAGCCCTGCGCAGCAAGAAAGATGAGGTCTAGTGAGTCTAGTGACGACCGCAACTACTAAGAGTAAAAAACGCAGGAGACAAGCCAGAGACTCATCTTGCCTCCACAGGGGACGAAACAAAAAGCAATCACAAGTTTGTAGCTAGGCAAGTTGTAGCAGGTCCAAAGAGCATCACGGCCTTTTGTGGCGAGGGCTTCAGTGGAGACACGAAGCCTGCGGCAACAGGGAAGGGAAAATTCACAGAAATACAAGCGACACACACCCATACCTTTGTAATTATGCGGAAATACAGATATGCATACGTACATACCGAATCTTGTGGATCTTCTTGCTGGCCGATTTAGGGTAAATCATCGCTCTCCTCGCTGCTGCTGCTGCTGCTGCTGTTGCTGTGGCGTTGCACACTTGGCGGAAAGCAGCGGATCCGGAATGGGTTTGTTGTCAGTACAAGAAGGAGCAACAGCCATGCCTTGACTGTGGCTGTCGGCACTTGCGAAGCTTTCGGCATCGTCATCCTGGCCGGAACCGCAAAAACTCTCACCAGGGCACCCTTTCGTTTTCGTTTGGGCTGTCTGTTTCAGGGCCGAGAGTCCATCTCTTTACCACTTTTGCCACGAAGCTGAACTCTTGTTCAACCTGCAGCCGACCAAAAATCTTTACCCCCTTCGGCAAGCGTCCTGATCGAAAATCAGCACCTTGGCACGTCTCTAAGATGTAGGTTGCAAACATATCAGCGCGCACACACACACACACACACTCTCTCTCTCTCTCTCTCTCTCTCTCTCTCTCTCTCTCTATGTGTATATATATATATATATGTATGTATATATGTTTTAGGCACAAACATGTTTGCACAAATATATGTTGTTCATATAACTCAAGAACGCAAACAGACACACACACACACACACACAGACAGACACACACACACATGCACTGACTGTACACCGATAGGAATACCTGCATTTTCGTATACATGTGCATATATGTGTATACATGTAGACCTACAGTTACATGCATATATATATATATATATGTACACATGCATGCATGCATTACATATGTACGCCCGTACATGCAGGCATGCATACATATGCAAACATCCAAACGTCTATCATCCGTCCATCCATCCATCCATCCATCCATCCGTGCATGCATGCATGCATACATGCTTACGAACATGTTGATTTTTGCTATTGGCACCAAACAGCACTGACACCTGTAGTCATCTTCGCAGCTGGAAAGAACACGACAGATGAACAAAACTGCACTAATCTACTAATGAGCAGGCAGCAGCACGTGCCGACACGCTAGCAAACGACGAGCAAGCATCGTCATCGTCACCAACAGGCGACATGGCCTGAACTCAACCTACACGTGCTCGTACATATACCCGTGGGTTCTCAACCCAAGTTCAAAGGTATGGATGCCACCCTTGACCTATCTCCTAATGCACAGTCTCCCCTGAGAGCCTATGATTGAGGATATTGCAAATACCAGCGAGGTTGATAGGTCGAAGGGTTGCCATGCTGGTGATGTGTTGCCTGAACTAGTTCCAGTAATGTGAACAAGTAAGAATAGAAGCTTAATCAAAAGGACGAAAATCTCGAAGATGGTTTTGCAAATCGAAACAAGCATACTGGTAACTGTGTCAATATTATTCGCAGTCTTCGTCGCCATCGCAGTGGCATCCATCCTGACGTTTTCATGGAGACACCGGAGATCAAAGCCTGGTCCAACATCCCCGATACCGAACCGAGAACGGCTTTTCGCACGCCAAGCGATGCGTTCATGCTCAGCACTATCGAACTCACATGCAGCTTTGGCATGCAACTTTGGCATGGCTCACGCATGCTAGTCGTACCAGGATGAGCTTTTGGTATGAGCCGCGAGATTCAGATACTAGTCATGGACTGCACAGCTGCTTAGTATTCATGGTTCTGATGTCACTGTTTTTTTGTTTGAGGGCTCTTTTCCGACTGCAGTACAGCTAGAATTCCTTACCATGATGAGGTCACTGGGTTTTTTTTTGAACCCTCTTTTCCTCCTGCCCTGTCGGTTAGTCGGAAGGCCCTGTAGGCTGAGTGGCTGTTCGGCCTTACCGAACAGCCCCTCAGCCTACAGGGCCTTCCGACTAAAAGAGGTCACTGGGTTTAGGGTTTAGGGAAAAATGCTTTTCACGAAGGGTTGTTTGGGTTTTCGATGCCCAAGGAAGCAAGGATCTTCGTGCCTTCCCTGCAGCTTCCTCTCTGTTTTGATGTTCTGCGACCCTAAGGGGTCCATGCACTGAAATAGTACAGTATAATGTAGGGGCCATAATAAGAATTAGAATGATTCGGGTTTTGTGGCCCATTCTACTATAATCATAATCAGGAACCATACCTTCGAACCAATTAACCTATGTAGGGACCACTTATGAGCCCAAAGTATCTGGCGCAGGGTTTCCCGCACATGTGATCCTTGCAGAGCTACGAGCGCCATCGAAGTTCAGAAATCAGAGGTCGGTGGTCCGAGAGGTGGCACCTGAGCAGGGGCGAGGCTCGGCGCTGGGGATTAGGGTATCATGTAAAGCCAACCCTAGACTTAAACTCGTCTTTCAAGGCCAATAGGAAGTAGAACTTGACCCCAAATGCTGCTTTGGTGGGTTCACATTCATGCCTACGACTTTTCGAGGTTAGGGTTTAGGGTGGTTTAGGCACTCTCCGGCTACATGCTACTGCCCTGTTCGTGTGAACTCCTCTCAGCCCCGGGCCAGTCTGCGAAAGAGGAGGGTAACTCCGGCCCTGTCTGGAGGCTCCATAGCTGAGGGGGTTTTCTGAAGTCTCGCTCAATATAGGGGCCTTTATAAATTGCCTATACTATTTTGGTGGTTTTTGATTAATTATCATTATAGTATGATGGGCCCCAAAAGCCTATTCTTAGTTATTAAGGCTACTATATTACGCTGAGGGCGCAGGGGTTAGAGGTCTGGGAGGGGGCTTAGGGTTTAGCGGCTTCGGAGTCCACACCTCGCGTTTCAGGTTTTCGGGTTTACAAGGCTTCGGGATTTGAAGCTTTGGCTTTTGGGCTCAGGGTTCCGGGGCCAGGATTTCAGGGCTCAGCGGTGTTGGATTCTTAAGGGTTGCGGACTCGCAAAGCACAACGAGTTCAGGATTGCCATTACGGCCGACCTGGCTGATCGGTTACTACAAGTCTCCCCCAAGTTTTACTATACGGATACCACAAGGGTTTCCTATGGTTTCCTGAATTCTTCCGCGAAGCTTTGAGCTTGCCGGGAAGATTCGGACGCCGGGTTGGCTGGCTTAGAATGTTTGTGCGTGTAAATGTGTTGGTCGGTCCTCGTATACGTCGTATGCACTTGCATGTGGGATGCGTGTGCGTGTATGGTATTTTATGCGTGTGTGCGTGTGTCTGCATGGGACGGCTTCATAATCTTTAAAACATGTGTTCTCGCAGACTCAAAAAACTGAGCTTTGACGGCGTGGCTCGCACTTTGCTAAATCCTAGTAAACACACCAACTGTCCTGATAAAGCCGATAAGTAGTAAAGCCTTGCGGAAACATCTCAAAGACCTTGTAGGGCTCTGGCTTCAAGTAGACGTATATTAAATATGGGTAGCCCTCTAAATCAGGGTTCCTTTTGGGGTCCTGATTCTAGCCGCGCCGTACAAGTTTGGGGATCTAAACAGAGGCCCTGGGTTGGAAAACTACCCATACTTGGCGGTTCATGGGTAGTTGTAGGTGGGGGTATAAGTCCCCCAGTATGGGGTTGTAATTGTAGTCACCCTGCTTATAACCCCGCTTGGACCTACCCATACGTTGGGTTCTTGCTAAGGAAATATTTAGTTTTAGTTACCACAATAGGGATCTATAGTAATTCCTAATTCTGGTAACTCAAATTAAACTCCTTAACAAGAACCCAGTAAACCTCCAAGTATACATACACCCGAGAACGAGAAGCTCAGCTCGGCCTTCACGTGCTCTCCCCACACGCGGGCGCAGCATGGGAGTGTCGTCTGAGGTGCCCTGACGAATAGCAGTATATGTATATATATATATATATATACACATACATGTATATGCATATCGATATATACACAGAATTAATGTCACTGTTGCTCATGATGAAAAGCAGACATCTCAAGCTCGTAGGCGTGATTATTTCATGGAAGTGTAGACGGCATGTATCAGTTACACACACACACACCAAACCGCAAGGAAAACGACCACCACCCGAAACCCTAATGACCCTAATGCCAGCACATGGAACAACCCTAGCCCTAGACCTCTAATCCCCGACATCCCTACGAATTCAAACAGACGCCCTACAACCCGGAAACCTAAACCCCCTTAACCCTGAACCCCAAAACGTTGAAATCCCTGAACCCCATGAAGCCCCAAACCCTAAAATCCTAAAATCACACACAGAAAGTCGATCGGGGCCTCGGGGAGGAGCTTCGAAGATACAGGCTGGAGCTCCCCGCGCAGCCAGACGTGGTCGGAGGCGAACTGGTTTCCCCTCATTCGAGCGGTTGATGGTATAAATCCTGCATTATCCATAAAAAAGAAAGAATATACCATAATTCCCATAGTTTAGGGCCCTTAGGTAATGCAGGATTTATATCATCAACAGTGATAAATTCATGACAATAACAAGAAGCCTAATAATGTCGTGTAAAGTTTGTCGAGGGTTCTAGAGCTTTTGGGCTTTAGGTTTTCAGGCTGTGGGGTTTGGCGCTGACGGGATTTAGAACTGAGGATTTGAGGGCTTCCGGGGCTATTTCTGGGCTCTTTCTGACTTGTTCAGGACTAAGCCTAAGCAAGACTTGCAGAATTGCACTTGTGGCAGCAGCACCAGGTACTGGGTGCAAGCCCTGCCCTGTGCCACTTTTGAAACTGCAGGGCTGTGTACGGAACAACCAACCAGCTTCTGCGACATTCTCCGACCAGCATGAACCGGGAATTGCACACTTTGACAGCAGATCAACAGACCATCCATGTTGAACAACCCTCGTCGTAGAGATGTCCATCCACGCCTGTGGTCACAGTGAGTGACCCGGCAAGGTGACCCGAAAAGCTCATCCCAGGCGTTGTGGAAGTGCGCCTGTTGCACAGGATGCTGACTAATGGTGATAGTGCTGCTGATGATGTGATGATGATGACGACAGGGCTGTGACAGTGCAAAGCTGCCAAGGCGTCCGTTCTGGCTTCTGCCAGCAGTTGTATCATGACGGCAGTCGCATCGTTACCACTCCCTTCCACTTCCCTGCTACTGCCTACTGCCTACTGCAACTCCGAGTCCTACTCTGCTACTACTGCTACTACTACTACTACTCCTGCTACAACTACTACTACTACTACTACTACTACTACTACTACTACTACTACTACTACTACTACTACTACTACTACTACTACTACTACTACTACTACTCGTCCTACTCCACTACTACTCGTCCTACTGCCAACACTACTACCACGACTACCACTGCTAGTACAGTACTACTGCAACTACTACTCCCGACTCCTGCTGCTGCTGCAGCTGCCGCTGCTGCTGCTAAATCTACGACGACGACTACGAATACAACTGCTACTAGAGTACTTTCAAAAGACCTGATCGATGCCTGAAGGCAAGAACATGTTGCCCTCTGGCTCTCTGTGTCTCTCTCCTCTCTTCCCTTTCGCGCTTTTTCTTTCTTGCTCTCTCTGCGTCTCTCTCTGCGCCTTCTTCAAACGCTGCGAAACCGCATCGTCGCTGGGGCCATTGAAATCCTTACATGCAGAGAAATCACGGAACTTCCCCTACTACGTAATGCAATGATGCGCCTACCTTTCAGTTAGAGTGACTGTCCCATGCATGAGGCCAGCGCGAAAAGGTCTTCACAAGTTCAGGTTTGTATGGCTCGCTTCATGAGGGTTTAGGGTTTAGGGTCTAGGGTTTAGGGGTTTATAGGGTTTCGGGATGGAATGATCAACAGCCATGCTGCGGATGAGGCAGACGAAATCTGCTCCACTCCGACACTGCATGCAGACAATCAGTGTAAGACCGATAGGGCGATGCTGAGACATCCATAGAATCCGAGCGGCACCCGCAAATACGAATGCTTTGCCACGCGGCCTCAATAGCATCGAAAGAAAGCAGCTACTCAGTACTGGTCCTGAGTTGCTACGTGCCTGGCGCAGGAAGAACTCACACTACTTCCAAGAAGAAATTGAAGATCACGGCACATTATCTGCTAAGGTTGGGACGCGTGCCTCTCACAAGCGTCCAGGCAGGCAAGGATTTGCGCCTGTCAAGGTGGCAAGATACTTGTAGCTGATAAACCCCAGCATCCGAAAATCGCGGCCTCTCGGGCACGTTCGTCGTAGTGTGAGTGCGGGAAGGTGAGGTGAGTGCCTCAAGCTGAAGTTCCCAGCAGCAGATCAAGATGGTTGTGCGGGGGCGGAGTGCCTTCTCTGAAACAGGTACTTGGAGGGTCATGGGTAGTTATAAGTGGGGTAGAAGTAGGGCAACATTACTTATAACCCATATTAGGGGACTTATAACCCCACTTACAACTACCCATGAACCTCCAAGTAGAGACAGTACACCGTCAAACGTGCAACTTGATTCAGATCCACTACTTAGTCAATACAGAGACTTGCGCACAGGACAAGATAATAAAGCAGGATACCAGGATTTTGTTTGACTAAGTCATACCTCATGATCGTACGCTGATGTCATGCTGCAATTCCAATCCAATGACAGCGTAGCACAGTTTGCTGCAGGCACAGCAGCCACCAAAACCATGCGGTCAAGATTCACATCACTCCCAGCTGCTCAGCTCCTGTCGTGGGGCATAGAGCATGAGACTGGAATATCAAGATCGCTTAGCTTACTCATGACTTGTTGCTTAGAAGTTCAACAACGGTTCTTGTTTGCTTAATTACATGCTACGTCTAGACCTGGCGATGTTCCTACAAGAAAGCCGTTGCAACACATCGATAGGCCGCAATCTCTCGACGATGCAGTAAGCCTACAGCAGCTCGCTCTCCAGCTCGTGCTTGCGTCAGCCCAGTCAATAATCCAGGATCAGGAGATTTTATTGGACAGGTTCTACGGCAAAGAACTTCCGATTCAAGCTTCCAGGAGGGGAGGCCCACAAGGAGGCTACATAATCCCGCGGTTCACATGCGACATTGCTGCACAAGCAGCAGCCGCCATCACGAGAAGAAGCTACGAAGTCTGCTCCGAATAGCATCGCATGTTATGTGCATGATGAGGACATAGTCGACCTACTAACAAGATACAAGAAGGATCCTCCTCTGGAGAGGCCCTTTAGCTCAGAAAAACCACCTCATGACGCAACACCAAAAGCAGAGGTTGCTTCCTCGGGGACGACGACGGTCAGACAGGCACAGCAGCAGTGCCACGCGATCCTGCCAAACATCAAGTTCAACGTAGTACTTGTGCAGAGGTACTGCTACTGCATGCATAGGATAAACAATAGATACCGTAAGTGGAAACAGCGGTAGTATACATGTACATCTCGTGAGTCTCTTATGGATGGACATGTTGAGGAAACATGCTGGAAGACTCAGAAGCCGGCAAAGCATGTTACTGTAGCTGCAATCCTAAGCATTCCTAAGCTGCGTAGTACATGGCAATCCCTACAACGTCGTATAGTATAGATCCCAAGTGTGTTACGGGTAACCCGGTGTCTAGGGCATGCTGTAAACTCTAAACCGCAATCCGCAAACCCAAAGTTCCGCCTGTGGGATACCGTAGGCATGGAAGTGGACCTCGTGACGTTCCACCACATCGAAGGTTTCACGCTTCACGAGGATGGCGATGCCTGTTTGTGGGACTTGCGTAGGGCACTTCAGAACACGAAGGGTACCTTACTTAGGAATGCCTTTGAGGCGGATTTGGGGCTCTATGTAAGGATAGGGATTAGGCTTAGTTACGTTTCGTGAATTCTGTTGCTTTCACCCTGGGCTATGGAGGGATATGAGGGGGGGTGCAGCAGGGCTCCTCCTCCGAAACCTGCAACACATTGCAACAGTATGTTTTGAATCCCCTCAACACCTATCCAGAAGACTGCGCATAAAGCGTGCGTGTCTAAGCTCTTGCACTCGATTCAACAGTAGACATGACATCCCCACAGTCTGAACCTGTACACCTCGCCCTCTCCAAGAAAAAAAGCCAAGCCGCCATCCTCCGACCGACCATCGCAGTTCCAACCGGAGCGCTGTAGCGACTCATAGCCTCTTGGATTGAGGCCAAGCTTATCTCAAACAAGCCCCACACAACGTAAATCCTGGGACTGCTCTGCGACCCTACCAGTAACAGTATACTTGTCAAGTACTGTAGGGAACTGGCTATATCGGCGTCAACTTGTCACCAGAGGCTTCATGTAAAACCGGGCAGCGATAGCCATGCTTCTGTGCCAGCTCTTCGTAGACCTTTTGGTGCTCGGGATCGAACCAATGCTCCTGAAAAAACACAAGATCATGAGCACGACGACAGCTACTACTACTACTCCTCCTCCTCCTCCTAATACTACTACTACTACTACTACTACTACTACTACTACTACTACTACTACTACTACTACTACTACTACTACTTCTACTTCTACTTCTACTTCTACTTCTACTTCTACTTCTACTTCTACTTCTACTTCTACTTGTACTACTACTGCTACTGCTACTGCTACTGCTACTGCTACTGCTACTGCTACTGCTACTACTACTACTACTACTACTACTACTACTACTACTACTACTACTACTACTACTACTACTACTACTACTACTACTAGTCCTACTTCCATGCATAGCTCAGGTCAGCAACTTGCTTTTGGGGCAGGGAGTTGTTATCACTTTAGAGCCATGACGATGCTCGCAATACCCTTAGCAGCCCCGTCCTGAAGGCACACGGCGTCTGCTCCCGCGGCTGCCAACACCCTGCAAGGCAATGGAATGCTATAGGGTGGTGCATGTATGGGCTGTATAGGGTTTAGGGTTCAGGGTGTGTATATCGTGTGCGCGCAGTGGGTGCATCTCTTTAGGAGTGGCAGTCAGCATGTAGTCCTGCCCCAACCACTCCAACTATTCTGATGTAGGGTTTAGGGTTCAGCCCCCAAGCCTCCTCAAGGGCGCTTTCTTGCGTTTTGCTTCCCTTCCTTCGCAGTTCGGCAAACCACTACATTTCACAGCAAACCACACCTAAGATGGATTATTGTCGGGCAGTGGGTGCTGACGTCCTATGCCGGCCGCTCGACATGACGCAAGGGTTGTCGGCAAACAACCAGCCCCTGGCATCCAGCCCCCTAAGAGGTTTGTGGGACCGGCCTTACACATCGGCGGGGCCACAAGCAAAAAAGGTGGAATTCACAGTGAATCGTTTGGTTGAAAACCAGCACACACAGGAATCCCGACAGTTTAGAGCAGGTACACACAACAAAAAAGGGAGGTACCCCCAGATTCATTGGCACCCGGTACCACAAAAACGGCGCTCCTATTGAGATAGACTGATTGCCCTGAAAACCCCCCGAGAAGGGCAGGAATGCAACAACAAACGCGGCTTCGGCGTTTTTGCAGGTCGCCCCCGAGGACCAGCCCCGGAGGCCCTGGTTCCTGGAATCCGGCAGGCTGGGACCCTTAATACGGACCCCTAGGTATATACCCCTAATCTAGCTGTTATATACCCATTATATTATAGGGTAGGGGTCATTAGGGGTCCCCATTAAAGGTCCCTCCTTTTCCCCTTTGAATCAAGGTGCCCCTCCTGTTGGGGGTACTATCCAGACCTCGCGTTTTGGGGGACTCGGTCGTCGCCTCGACTGCCCATGCAAATGGTCAGCGGCGCTCGCGGGTTTTATAGGGTTTATAGGGGGTGTTCATATGTGTCTACAGAGCCAAGCACTGTACCACTGAGAACAAGCTTTGCGGGCCAGCTGTAAACGCTGGATATATAGAATCTAGGCCTTGTAATTCGGGTGGACCCTGAAGCGGCAGCCTGCAGATCTTCTCACATCGCGCCAAGGCGGCAGCGCGCATGGAAGCCTGTGTTTCTTGAGGGTGGGTCGAGATGGGATGTGCAAGATTCTCGCAAGCCGTGTCTTCCTCTTGCACAATCAGAGGCTGTTGTCCGCAACATGCAAACACAAAACCCACGACCAGGATGTCACAGGCCTTTTGAACCCAGAAGCTCATGGACACGAAACAGGAACGATGCTATGCATGGGACCCTGCTTTGTACAACACGCTCACGTCCGGGTTACGGGCGTGCATACTTGCCTGCCCCTTGCCACACCTCCTGCCCGTCGGGAAATGACAATTAAGCAGAAAGTTCGAGCTGTACACGGAATATGTTTAGACCACGGGCGTGTGTGTTTGCCCCCGCACATTGTTCTTGTTGCTACAGCGGGGGCAGCTGCTCATGACAGCCACAGATCTCATCGACGCACGCATGCTGCCGTGGGCACTGCTGTCGCCGTTGAGCTTGTTGCTAACTGTTGTAGTGAACTGTGATGAACTTAGGCGACGGTGTTGGTGGGTGGTTGTGGAAGGTCGTGCTGCTACTCGTCTTGTCGTTGATCAGTTCCCCCGGTTTTCAGTCTTTCTCGGAACTTCGCACCTCCGTCTCATCGCGCATCCCAGCCTGCTGGCATCATTAGAGCAGGACTTCCCAGACTCAGGAGCTGTCTGAACGAATTTGAGACTACCTCGGGCTTGAAACTGAAGGCCCGGAATGGCTTGGGTAGGGCAAGTTTCGACAAGGTCTGAGAGGAGAGACACCGCACTACCTAGCGAAAGGAGGCTGAGGTATCGGCGAGCCCTGACATGCTGCACTCCCAACGAAAGAGCGCTATGCACAGCCAAACAAACCAACCTGTGCGGAAGGTGCAGAATGCATTGAAAAGATGAGCATGCGGTACTCTGAGCCTCTAAGCGCTAACAACAGGAACCAAGTACCAATTGCGAGGTACCTACCCAGTGGATATTTGGGCCCCAAAAGTATTAATTGACTTGGACCCCTTTGAAAGCAGCCTGGCGAAAGTAGACCGGCGCCAACGTATTCCACGTGAGCACAGTGAAGGCCGAGCTCGCACCTCTCCGTACACGAAGGAGCCGAGCAGTCGCGCGACAGTACTACACAAAAATATCACAAAAATGTAGGTCATCCAAACAAGGCCCCACATGCTTTTGGACTCTAAACCTCCCAACTCTGGCCTTGACGCCTTCTTGGGATCTCTTTCGTGATTTGGCGTGAAATACTCGGCCAGGTCTCGTTCCTGCCCTTATGACATCCAGCCTGCCATCGCAGCGGATGTCCACAGGCGAGCGCGCCTGCGAATACGTTGCATCTCCGCATAAACCCAAAAACACACAGAAACAGACACGCAAACGGCCGACAAACCGACAAACACGAGCAAAACAATCCAGAACAGACTGGCTTCCGAGCTCTCATACCTCACAAAAATCTGCAGGCAGGTACTCCCCTGAGCAGCCACCAAACATGCTACGAGTCGGCTGGAAGCGGTGCTACACACGGCTGGACTTAGAGCATGAGCTCCGTACTCAACTTCATGACAGGCCTTGAGAGGGGCCCACTTCCGCGCATGCACGTGACATAGCACAGCCAGGCCCGTATGCTTAAGGCAGCAAGGCACAGCTGCCAGGGGCATAAGCCAAGGAGGGTTTTGATCTGTGTTATGCCGTTGTACTGAGAAGGAGCATGATAGTGATGCATGATAGTAGTGCACGACCACTCCAGAAGCAGTACGACGCCTACTCCTTTTTGCGACGGGTGCGAGATTTGCTACCACTGTCACTACCAGTTTCACGCACCGAGAATGCCAATGCTATCAGGACATGTGCGATTGTCACGCTCATTTATGTACTATGCCTTCTCTATCTCACCAGCTCAGGCTCTAGGATTTCGAGCTGTGGGCCACAATGAATTGCAACTGCAAGATTCAAAGCCATGGGGCAGTGTGGATGTTTGCTCAGGCGGGCAAATTCATGGCATGATGAGACCGTCCGGGCTTTCACTTTCTTCGTGGCTACGGCTACTCATGCATCGGCACTTTATGTTATCAAACTGCTGCCTGGTTATCATCCAGCGGGAATCGGTCATGTGCTCTTGGCAAGGTCGAAAGTATTAGCATAATTTCCCTTAACATACTCATTCTCATATTATGCGTTACTATACATACTTTTGTTACTATTCTACCTGCATTGCTGCCCCCTTTACTACAGGAGCAGAGGCTGACACAACATCTGACTGACAGCTCTCATGCCTCACTTCTAGCTCGACTTTAGCTTCATTGTGCACCGTATGCAGAAGATGTTATCAACGGAAAATGTACAAACAAAGTGGTTGCGCGCAGCCGCGAAGCATCAGAAACCTCAGCCGACGATTCCAGCGCCTCTGTCTCAGGCTCAAGTCAGTCATAGGGATCCTTAGGGGTGTAGGGGGGAGGGGTGTAGGGGACTATATTTCCTTAGATAGGCCTTATTAGTCCTTATTATGGGCCTTAAGGCCCCCTACCCCCCCTCCCCCTACACCCCTAAGGATCCCTATGAAAGTCAGGCTGAGTTGGCCAAGAAGTGGAGTGCATGAGCTTCTGCACTTGCAGCCAAGATTTTCTCAGCATCAACAGAAAACCTACAAACACGCTTCTTCGCTCTTTGAAGCCGTAACACCAGCAGACCAGACCAGAAACACCGTAAGCCCTACAAAATCGTCGTGACGGCATACGTTGGCCGCCTTGAATTCACATGCTCTATACTTTCGAAGCTCGAGGTTCCAAGGTGGGAGATCATAACCAATCTTCGCAACCAAAACATCGAGGTCCTTTGCGGAACCCCATACCCCCAAATCCAAACCCTATAAACCCCAAACCCTAGATTCCCTCACCGTAAAACGAGAGTAATATTCTTTAGGGAGGCGGAACAAGACCCGGAGCCCCGAATTGGCACAGTCGAAGACAGGATCCGTCTGTGGGGCTGAAATCTCGTCTGCTGCACCACCAAAACCAGCCTACGGTTGATGATATAAATCCTGCATTACCCACAATACGGAATATACCTTAATTCCCATAGTTTAGGGTCCTTAATTAAGGTAATGCAGGATGTATATCATCAACAGTACCACTCCAAACCGAGGCATGTGTCCACTAGCCGGCGGCATTGCAGCAACAGACGACAGCAACCCACAAGCGCTAAGATACCTGGTGTTGAAAATGAATACAAAAACATGAAGAGAGGAGGATATCAGCAGTGTGTGCAAGGTTAGTGTTTGTGGATTTGCATCCCCTCAAATCCCTTGCAATAAGGGTGACAAGGATAGCGGATGTCAATTGGGAGGAAAACAACTTCAACACAAACCTCAAGCAGTGTGATCGCAACGTAATGCTTCTCAAAACTCAATGTTAAGAACATCCCCAGCTGTTTAGGTGGTCTGCAGTCTTGACAGACATACCGCCCTCCTCCTCCTCCTCCTCCTCCTGCCAAAACGCTCAGCCGAGCTGCTGTTTCATTTGCGGGGCAAGCACGAGAGCCCATGGAATCCCAAAGCAAAGCGGGGGCACAATTCCGAAAGCCTGGCCTTCAAATCCACAGGGGGTATGCTCCAAAAGCTACTCGCCATGGGCCCGCAAGTATGTAATTATTCCTGACGTGGGACCAGCGCGATATGCTAAGCCGCTAAGCCATGCCTTTGGCCTCCTCGTGGGGATCAGATCTGCCAGCATCAGTCGTCAGCAGCCCGTGAAATCAGAGATGGAACTGCGCACCTGCAACTCGCTGTTCGGCTTCCGCTAAGGCTGCGCAGTATCATCGGGCTGTGGCACTGCATCACTGCAGCAGCTCAGGTTGCGATTTAGCGATCTGGGGCTCAAGCGCCGTATTCTCCAGGCTTCGCGAAATTCGAGGCTTGGAACATCACAGCATGTAAAAGGTTGTGCGACACATGGCATCCATCCGGCTGATGGTATCTGTAACACATAGAAATGTGGCCTCTGCTCTTTGTCCTATTGCATTCAAAAGGTGTTGAAATCCTCTCCTGACACCAAGCCGTTCACGGATGCTTGGGATCGTTAGAGAATGTATAGGGCATCTATTGACCACAACACCCCCCCTTGATTGAAGTCATAAAGGGTCTGTAGCCATATCGGGCATACCAGATTTCGGCCACGGCGCTGGCGATGGTGGCCTGCAGTTCTCAAGAGTTCGCAAGATTGCAGAAAGATGGCGCTCCGATGAACCGCATGAAAGAAGGGGGGTGAGGGTCTACGGTCTGAGGGGACAGGGTAGAATCTGAATTCCCGAGCTCGACGTCGAACTGCCACCATGCTTCGGCGTCTTCTCCACCACAGGTTTGTCAGCTGGTATGTCCTCCATGCTCGGTTGTGGTACTGTTGATGATATGGATCCTGCATTACCTTAAGGACCCTAAACTATGGGAATTATGGTATATTCCTTATAATGGGTAATGCAGGATTTCCATCCTCAACCGTATGTTAGGATTCGGGGCTCGAGGCTCAAGTGTTGAGCTTAGGGTGCTCCTTGGTGCTTCGTTTACTAGTATGCCTCAGAACAAGCTCTCGGAGGATCTCTGCCATGTCTGCCTCAGAGGGATAGATGAACAAGTGCACAGATAGGTACATAGACAGGGCGACCGATAGCCTATGATAGCAGGGCTTACAGTCTTCGTACAAGCTAGGACGTAGGTTTGTAGGACACCGGGCGGTTCTGGAACCTGTATTTCACGGATTCATGGTGCAGGCAGGGTTTTCGTAGGCTGTGGGCGTTGCAGGGTCCAGCCAGACAGAGGCCAGTCATTTCGTTTATCCTGGGATTTCGGTCTCTGTGGTTAGTCGGAACTGTTGGTAGGATTGGGATCAAGAGACGGATTAGGGGCGGCTAGTGCCCTTCCTGGCCTGCGGTATCTTCTCCTCCGAGCCGGAGGGTGCCTGAAGAAAAGAGCTTCGGAAGTTCTTGCAGGCGGGATGTTTGCACAGTACTTCAAATACATGTACACGTGTGTAAAGCTTGATGAATACACGGTTGCGGGATTGATAGTGCCGCAGGGATAGTATTGGCAGCAGGAAGCACACGGCAGTACTGGCAGATTGCAGACCAAAGTGAGCTTTAGGGGGCAAGGGTTATTGTGCAAGCTCTAGAAACGATCACTAAGCATTCAGACCTTCATGTTATGGGGCTGCCAAAACAGCAGCCACAGGAATCGCAGTTGAGAGCTCCAAGCAGGTTGAGGCTTGATGGCCTGGTTTCCCCAAAGGGTCCATATCTATGGTCTCCATTGCAGTTCCTTTTTCGGGTAGCAAAATTTATACTACAGGGTCCTAGCCTTAAAACTGGTTAACCAAAAAAGAACTACAATGGAGACTATAGGAATATACTACCATTGTGGAAGTTGGTCCTAATTCCATAATAGTAGTGTATATGGACCCTTTGGTTTCAGCTTCTGTATGAGGCTAAGGACCCAGAGACTCCAATATCCCTTAATTAAGGAATATTCCTTAAATTATAGTAGGATCCCTTATATGATTTAAGGTCTATTCCTTAATTGAGGAATATTGGAGTCTCTGGGGACGTAGCTCTATGGCTCGCGCCAGACCCAAGGCTGAAACGCGAGCTCCTGAACCGACCTTTCCTCACACCGGTATCTCGCAAGGTCCGGACGTATCCGAACTCTATAATGTAGGGGCCTTAATACTTAGAATAGGGTTTGGGGGGTATATTATATCATAGTGATATATAATTAAACAGGAACCCCCGAACCCTACATAGCTTGCCCTGCCTCCTGAGCCACCTCCTCCTGAATCTTTGCAGGAGGCTCCTGGGACAGGTCGCGATACTCGGGATTTAGATGCGACGTGGGGCCAGCACAACTGTCTTCCTGACCATCATCTGAATACCCATGCCGCATTGATCAGCTTGACAAGCCTACAGTAACTCAGCTACATGGGCCGTGCGTGTGCACACTCACAGCATAAGTAGACTCACTCTGCCGCAAACGGCACTCTGCAAACCCTAAACCCCTAAACACTAAACCGCAAACCCATAACCTTAAACCCATAAACCCATAAGCCCTAAACCTAAAGCCATAAACCCATGAACCGACAAACCCATGAACCGACAAAACCCACAAGCCCATAAACCCATAAACCCTAAACCCATAAACCCACAAACCGATAAACCCATAAACCCTGTAAACCCTACAAACCCTAAACCCTGAGCAAGGCCCTCCTTCGGTGGGAGTTTGGCACACAGCTCGTCCTTGGCATTCCAAGTAGCAGCTCATGCGCGCAGCCAGGTGGGGAGAGGCTGTAATTATAGTAAGGAACCCCCAAAATTGTATAGGTAATTATCAAGGCTATTAAGGCCCCTAATTGCCAATACTCTTTTCCGGGGGGTTCCTCCTTATGAGAATGCAGCGTGATTGCTAAAACAAGCCGAATCTCCGATTCGGACGGGGGGTTAGATGCAGCTACGGATGACAGGAGAACAGGGCTGGCGGATGTTCCAATCGGTTGCAAAGTCTCGAGCTTTTGCGATACCTTGGCGCTCTGCATGGAGAAGAAAGGCTCCTTGCAAAAGAGGCGGACAACGCATAGGGCATTGGGTTCAATGCTGAAGCGAGCTGAACGTCATGCCCTACGTGTCTTTATAAGCCGTTTCTAAGCGTGAAAGCAGCAGCTCGAAGCCGCAGTACTCCACCAGAGAGCCATGGTAAGAGCTGCATGGAATTCGGATCGCCAGCACTTGCGAATCTAACACATCGCATTCTCAGCAACTTCAATGCTGCAGATGCTGCGGTGGGCCTTTGGCAGCAGCGTGGGCAGTTGATCTCCGCAGGATGCTGGTGCCTCGCAACATGCTTCTCCCCTGTCTAGGCCCTAGGGATATTATGCCATAAATACAACAAGGAAGGACAAATACGAATAATCACACAAAATTAAGGCCCCTCTATCAGACATGGTTGCACACTTAGAGTGAGCGCGCAGAGATGCTTCGAGGTTTCTTCGGCAGAGAGTAGGCCGTCGGAGATTAGAGTAGACAGCTAGAGGTTCTATACAATCTCATCAGATTTCCTGCGTAAATTTTAGAGAATCTAAGCCCGTCAGTCCATATCTGCCGAGAAGCGAAGTGGACATGCTTCGGCTTGTTGAAAAGCGTAAGCTTCTCACCCGGAACAGCACAAGACGCTCCTGGGTCATCAAGCTGTCACAACATGTGATGCTGATCTCCCAGCTCGATCTGAAATTCACCCACTTTTGCGTTCCATTGGATACGACTAGCTCCTAAACCCTAAATCCCAAACCCCTATATTCTAGTACCCTTATAGATCCCCTTATAGTAAGCCTTATAGACCCCTTTAAAGGAACCCCTAGTACTTGGTAATTAAGCCGAAGAGCCCGGTGAAGGCAGGCAACTCCGCACCAAGCCTTTCTCCACTCGCTCGGACAAGGCCTGAAGGCGCCTCGGACGACATAGGCTCCCCTTTTAGAAGATTACTGGGTATTTTTTGACATGTATGCATGTATGTGTACGTATATATATATATATATATGTATATATATATATATATATATATATATATGTATATGTGTGTATATATATATATATACATGTATGTATATATATATATATGTATCTATATATAACAAACAATACAGTAGAATATTATATGTATATGTATATATATATATATATGTAACCAGGCTCCCCTTTAAAGGCTACTATTGGTATGTCGTAGTACTTTATACCCGTTTAAAGGATACTGCTGGTATATCATAGTATTTTATAGTACATGATGGTACATTCTCGAGTACATTATGGGATGTTCTAGTACATTTTGGCAAAGTTTTCGTGCCAGAAACTGATAGGATACAGTGACTGAAGTGTGAAACCGGACTGCCATTGCTGGCAAGATGCTGCTCTTGCGTGTCCAGGTTCCTTGGATGGCTTCGACCCCTTGTAAAACTGCCATATGTCATCTGGCGCCTGCTTAAGCCTTCAGGTACTGCCGAGGCTGCACATAACACACCCATGAGCTGAAGCCCTTAATCCCTAACCCTAAACCCTCGAAATCGTTCGAAACTGCTACATCGCCTGCAAGCAAAGGCACGTTCTGGTGAGATCCAAACGAACCTCACCGACTCACAAGCGAGGCTTCTCAGGTGCACCACTGCTCTGCTCCTACTACGAGTAGGGTTTCGCTGCGGGGTTTCAGAGTTTAGGGCTGCCTTTCGCCGCCAAAGTAAACTAACTTGAAACATTTAGATGCCCTATACCCTAAGCCTCATGGCAGCCCATAGAGGAACCATTTTAGATTACAGGAACCCTTAAAAGAACCCAGCCCTAAACCCTAAACCCAGCACCCTTGCAGGGTGGCCCTTAGACGCTCCCATAGACGCCCCTACACTAAGGCTTACTACTGTCAGACTTTATTATGTGGGGTTCCGAAACTGCTGAAACACACCTCAAAACCTAGAACCCCTAACCCTAGCCCCTGAACCTCTGAAGCCCCACCCTAAACCCTCTAAACCCTACTTGGAGGGTCGGGGGACTTAGTAAGTAGGTAGTCAGTAGACTTATAAGTCCCCAAAAAGGGACCCTAATTGGGGTTATGGTACTTATAAGTCCTTAAAATAACCAGTTACTAAGTCCCCCGACCCTCCAAGTACAACCCCTAAAGCCCCAAGAGCCGCTTTCGCCTCAAAGGCTTCGGTTTTGGCCGAGCACTGCGCGCACTGCTTGCCGAAGCCTTATTTGAAGGTTCATCGGTAGCTATAAGTGGGGCTATAGGTCCCTCAATATGGGTTATAATTGTAGCTACCTTACTTATAAACCTGCTTATTAAGTCCCTGAATATGGGTAATAATGAGGGTTACCTTACTTAGAAACCTACTTATAACTACCCATGAACCTCCAAGTAGAACCGTGTTAGGGCTCCGAGGGCTTTTGAGGACGGGGCTCTTTGAAAGGGGCTCCTTTAAGGGATACCATAGGAGCTTAGGGTTTAGGGGTTTTCAGGGTTTCGGTTTTAGGATTTAGGGTGTGGGATTTCAGGGCTCCTGAGATTAGAAGGGTAGTATGAGCTATAAGCCAATGCTGACACTCTAGCATGCAAGCCCAAGGGAAACATGTTCCGCGGGAAAGCTTGTTGATGTTGGTATGCCAGGGTGGGGAGAGAAAGAGTCGCAGTAGGAACCGTTCGGAGATGCTCCCAGCAGGCGATGATGACACCCAGCCACCTATCTCTCTCTAGCAGGCTCTGCACTTCCATAGGAAACTGGAAGCAACCTTTATCTTAACGACAAATTTCAACAACCATGATGCTCAACTAACGCTATGGTTGAGACAGATACACCAAAGAATCCAACTACAAGTCCACAACCCTAAACCCCAAATCCCAAACCACCCAGCCCCAATGCGAACTTCGCAACCCTACATGGGTGGTTGTCAAAATTATGGCCCCTTTTTGGGTCCTTATTATGGTACGGCACCTAATATTTCGGGTACCCCCCAAAGGGGCCATAGTTTTGACAACTACCCTATATACATCCTGAACCCCAAGCCCTAGCTCAACCTTTCGCCTCAGACTCCTTGCAAGATGAGAGTCGCTCCACGTGTGCCTTCAACTCCGGGACGAGGCTTGCAACTTGTCGCATCTGCCTTGGGGTTCAAGGTCTTAGTTGCTGAGTTCATAAGCCCCCCCAAAACTGAACACTTTCAGTGTTACAGTGGGTAAAAGTTGCCTCAAAAAGTGTAAAGTGCATCCACTCAGCTACTAAGAGGTCTTGGGGTTTGGGATTTCAGGTTTAGGGTTTGGTGTTTGTGAACTTTGAGGTTTAAGGTTTACGGGTTAGGGTCCGAGATTCAGGGTTTAAGGGGTAGGGTTCCTCTCGGGTCCAACCTCCTCAGTGACACGTGTATTTTTCACTGACGTACATCAAGAAACAAACAAACAAACAAACAAACAAACAAAAAACACACAAAACTACTCACATGCATACCATACCATACCATACCATACCATACCACAACACGAGAGCAAATGACAGCGGGCATTGTCGTGACTTCTTCGGCCCTAACTGACCATCTACTCTCGGCCTCAAAGATAAGTCCACGTTGCGAAAGATTGCGCTCATCGACGATCTCTGCCAAGTCCTGAATGCAGTCTTTGCACGCAAAACTGGGGGGGCATGTGCCGAGTCGAAGTCGAAAGCTGCATCAGTTCCATGTGCCCACATAGTAGGTACTTAGGCCTTAAAGTACCTATATATATATATATATATATATATATAGAGTTATATATAGATAGGGACCCCTCTAAGGTGTAAGGACCTACTATATATGGGTACGTGGAGCCTTTGGGAGGTCAGCAGAAAGCACGCGCTTGTTGTTCAGGAGGAGCACTGGGTCACACAACGTGCCCAAAGCACACATCATGTCGTCTACTTCGTCGTCGTAAGAGCAGCTCGTGCTCGCGTCTGGTATAGCTGTTCGGGGTGTCACTGCCCTTGCCTTCCACAGAGTTGACGACATGTGCGGGGCAGCGCACAAAAGACCTATATTTAGTTATCAAGGTATGGCTTGTACGACGGCTGCTGTAGTAATTACTGCGACAAGCGACACAAGGAGCACGACCAATGTTCGGCATTCTGAACAAGACTCAGAATCTCTCAGAACCCTGAGACGCGTCGAAGTTATCCCGAATCTGTCAGTGTCCTCAAGGCGCCCTCGCAGCTCCAAAATCGCTTTGGCTGCAGGCTCCACTTTGACACCTCAGGGATGTGCGTACCGTCTTTGGGAATGAACTGCTTCGAAGCCGTGCCCGAAACGGAGCTGTGATGTAGAACAGCACCCAGCAAGGACGAAGGAAGGCGGCTTCCTTAAACTGAAGGTGGAGGGGCTTCGGAGTTTGAGACAGCATGCTCTGCCCAACCCAAAGCCATGGAAGCTCACACTACCGCCGGAGGTCCAGCTGGGAAAGATGCTGGGATTGAAAGGGTTGTCCGGCCCAGCTGTAACAAATCAGGCAACAGCGAAAGCGAAACTATGGCCCTGAAGGTCTCATGCTGCGCTGCCTTCGACGATGGGCGCTTCCGCCTGCATCATCTGCTGGGCACTCGCACGAGCATTGCTGGAACCAAACCAGGCACCTACGAAACGATCGTACAACTGATGTTGCAAAAGCAGTGAACTCCTTTGCAAAGGAGCAACACAGGCGTCCACAGTCTACTGTATACCGTCTCATATGCATAACTCAGCATACCCAAAACGACTGCCATCGTTCTAGGTTTAAGACTGCTGTGTTGTGTTTCTTATTCATCGTGTTTTCTTCTGTTTCTGAAGGCTTTCTTTGATGGTTAATACTATTCATGTACGGGCCTTAATAATTAGAATAGGGTTTTGGGGCCCAGGCCCGTTATACTTGAACTATACTAAGGAGCCCCCCCCTAAATAGTATTGGCAATTTCGGCCCCTATGTTACTTGCCAGTTTTCTGTCAAGCTCCCACCGGAAGCCCTGCCGCGACGCCACAGCACTACCCTAGGCTCCAGGCCCGCCTCGGGCTCCGGCGCCCTAAGGCCACTGCGCAAATCCTGGAGAAGGGTTGTGATGAGCATAATATAATATCAGATAACATATAACATAATGTTATATGACATCATGTACCACAATAGTATAGTGAGAATTTATGGTACAATATCACAATATATGATGCTCCAGGATTTCAGGTCTTGGCGCTGTACGGGCTTTTAACTCACAGCATGACACCGCAACACAATTGACGAGCATCTGAATGCTGCAGCAAACCTGTGATAAATTTCTGCAGCACTATGACAGTAGAGCTAAGCGCTAAATGTAGGGGCCTTACTAAACAGAATAGGGTTTGGGGCCCATGATAATTCTACTATAACTATAATAAGGACCCCCCCCAAGAAAATAAATTTTATAGGCAATTATTTAGGCCCCTATACCCTAAACGGGTTTTGGTTGAAGACTTCGGGTGTCAGTCACGATTATAGTTCTCAGTCTCTTTAAGGACATATGTACAGAAATCATAATACGGAACCCTAAAAAGGTAGGTTCTTTGGGCTCCGGGTAGGGTAGGGGAACACTGTTAGGCCGGATGGCTCCTCCATCTCGCGACGCAGCTCTGGCAATCTGGCAGCACCGAGCTGCTCCTGGGCCGCCGGGCTTGGAAGATGCAAGGGCTTATACCGTTGATGGTAGAAATCCTGCATTACCTTAACTACCCTAAACCATGGGAATTATGGTATATTTCCTATATTATTGGTAATGCAGGATTTATATCATCAACCGTAGGGTGAGAGTTTTCGAGCTTGGTAGTTTGGAGTTCAAGATGTTTAGGGCCTGGAGCTTAGAGAGTGCGAAGTTAATGAATGCCGCGCGGCTTCGAAAACTTGGGGCTTGCAACATTGGACGTTTAAACATGGGCCGTGCGGGGGTTGGAAGCGGTACTTCCATTGATGTTTAAGATTTGAGCATGAGTCAGGCCTCAAAACTGTAGAGGGTCTCAGGGTCGAAACTTCGCCACCGTTTTCTGGGAGTTCTGTCAAGCTGGCTAGCGCTGACCGACGGACGACGCGTTTGTAGGTGGGCTGCGACAGTGTTTGTTTGTGCAAGCTTGAGGATGTAGGATTATGGACAATATTAACCCCTTTATGAACCCTTAGACTATCCCGTATAGTAGCACTTCTAACAGCCCGTTGTGCGCTCAAATCCTGCAACCCCACGACCACGAACCCTCTAACTGCAGCCTAAAACCCTAAACCCTAAACCGACCCGGAAGCCCCAGAGCCCTCGACCCTGAACAGCACAGCCCAGAAGGAGCCTCAAGGCGCGCCAGCTGAGATGACAGAGCTTCGATCTCTGCGCCTTGCCGGGAGATGCAATATAGTATTTAGAATAGGCTTCTACGGGGTTCTTACGGAGGCTCCAGTCCATAAGGGTTACTGTGTGGAGTATAATAATAATAATAAAAGACTAGAGGGACCCGAATAGACAGAATAGGTTTGCGGGGGCCTACATTCTATTGTAGTAATAGTATGCAAAACCGACTGGTATTGGTAGTCTTTCCTTCAGGCCCAGGTATTATGGTGGTCGATGGCACATACGTGGCAGTTGGGACATAGCATAGTGCTGCTGACTGAAGCTCCCAGGCAAAACAGCATGGCTTTCACTACTAGGCATCGGAGCGTCTTAGGTTTGGGGTTAAGGTTGAAATTCGGCAATGTGGAGTTACACCTTAGCTCTATAAACGGAATTCAGAGCTCAGAGCTTTTGCAGCCCAGTGCTCTTCGGAATTTAGTAATGCGCTGTCTCTACTACGGGTCTTTTCTGAGCTGACGACAGAACAGTGAATGATGGTGCGGTTGGTGGCAGCCTTCCTTGCCTCCTCCTCCGCCTGCTCCTACTCTGATGCTACTCCTACAACTCCTATTTCTCCTCCTCCGGCTACTACCACTGCCACTTACTGCTGCTGGTGCTCTGCTGCTGCCGCTGCTGACGCTACTGCTACTGCTGCTGCTGCGACTACGACTACGACTACGACTACGACTACGACTACGACTACGACTACGACTACGACTACGACTACTACTACTACTACTACTACTACTACTACTACTACTACTACTACTACTACTAGTACGACAACGACGACGATAATATACTCTATATTCTCTTTTCTGATATTGCACATGCGGCTATATGATTACTATGATTATTGACGTCGTGTGAGCGCACCTGAATCCGACTTCAAAGGCGCATCGTCCTCAGGTGCTGCAGATCCTGCGTTCATTGTCCATGTGGCGAAAATGTGGCACAGGCTTTATAGGGCCTCATTAAATGGCTCCTTCCAACAAGAAACTGCTGTTGTGACAAGTGCTGACCACAGTGCTACCAAAAACTCGAGTATGCCCTGCACGACCGCTCTCTGCACGGAGGACCAGCGAAGGCTTGCGTTCTGTGCGGCTTGCCTGGCAAACCAGAATCGGGGAATCCGAAAGCCTGACGCTTGAACAGACCACCCTCGTACCACAGGCCGGCAACTGATTCGATTCTGAAATCCTCATGATTCCCTTGAAGCGTCCAGCATATCGTGCCGCACCTCCGAACAATGCTTCCGCCACTGCTGCGCCCTGCCTGGTGAATATGAAACAATCATAAGCCTGTCCGGGGAGCACTGAACATCCTGAATGGGAAAGCAAAAATTTCACACACCGCACGAAACGAAAGAACTGGTTGACAATCGTGCCTTCCTCGTCTAAAACACCTCTGGACAAACTGAACTGAATGCGATCTCTCTTCCTGACTTTGGGCACCTAAGGCTCTAAGGTTTGTTGGAAATTAGGAGCGAATACGCTTTATAGGGTCTTTATAAAAACTCATTGAGGATCCCACTAATACGTCATATAGGGTCTTTACTTAAAAATCACTGAGGATTCCACTAGTTGGCTCTGAACTAGCAGTTGCTTCAGACGGCCACGTGTCAGCACAAGATGCCAGCCTCTGCAATGCACGCCGAAGATGCAACTTTGGGCCTTTATTAGGGTTCCTTAATATGAAACCTACTATTTTTGGGTTACAGGCCCAGGGATTCTTAATCAGGTTCCTACATTACCTTCCTAGCGGCTTGTGCCTGGACCTTCCGAACACCTGTGCTCAGAGACGCTAAAGGTTTCTTTTCTTCTGCCATTATCGCAATCACTATTCCCATGGCCCAGTAATTACCTTTACTCCCAACACCAATACTAGAGCTGTTCTGCTAAGATCATGATACACGCCCTGATTTGTCTGCACTGGGCAAGCTGCAGCTCGGCCATAGCTGTGTCGAGGTCCTGCACAAGCGAACATGACATGTTTAGTGTGTGTGGTGTCTGGGACCGAATGATCTTGGATGGGAGCTCTGGGCATAAAAGAGGACTTCACAAGCCGGTCCGCTCATGGAGCTCGAAATCACCAACCACACCCGCTTCATATGAACGTCATTGGGGAGAATTCCGGCCGATACCACGCAAAGAGAGGTGCCTTCGAAATGTTGGATCAAGGGTGTTCAACCGTGTCAACTGCTTGTACGGTGCTTATGAGCTCGTGAAGATCGTGTCGGTCTTCTTATACACATGTTTGACACCGGTATCGAGCGACAAGTTTACCATGTAAGCATGCGTCAAACCTGCATCCGTTGTCCACTCGGTGAGTCGACATCCGAGAGGGGCTATAGGCAGTCACACAGAAACCGTGTGAGAACGGCCCATGGCCGGACTGACACAGAGTAGCCAACATGCAGCCAGATGGTGTGACGGGCTACATGACTGCTGGTTTCGCTTGTAGCGGACTTCGGCTTAGCACGGCTGGCAACACTTTCGACAAGAACAGCCCTCCGACGATGATACGCCGAATCTTCGCTCGATTCATGCAACTCCCAGAATACACTACAATCCCGCTACAACAACACCTGGACCTGAACCCGAAAACGCTGAAACACCCTGAACACGACAAAAAGCTCCTTCAGCTGCTTGGCATTCTCATCTGCGAGGCTTTGGCAGCCGCGCAGCTGCCGTCCCTGGTCTGAAATGGAGGCCTGCCGGAAGCTTGGCAGAAGTTACGGTTCGGGCTGTTTAAGTCGGGGTATGCCTCTCTGACTATCTCACTACAGCATGGTGCATTGGATGGTCCAACACAAGTTCTGAAGAACATCCCGTGTGTCACGTGTTTCGCATGCCCCGTGCTGAGCTCATAAACCACTGAAGGGCACATGAACACTAGATAATTTGATGAACTTCTCAATCCCAAGATCCCAACCCCAAAGCCCAACACCGTAACTTTTGGGGCCCATTATACGACAACAAGAACAAGGAACCCACAAAAACAGTGTAGGTAATTATTAAGGCCCCTCATTCAGGCTCCTCCATTAAACCCCTTAAGCCTTAAGCCGAGATTGCAACAATGGCAGGGCTTGCAACTCGCTAAGGCCTCGAGCTGCGCCAGGTGGTTCTGAACGTCCTCGGCCTGCCAAGATCTGGCTTTGTTAGGGGGAGGCGTTTTGGATTAGTTGACTGTGCCGTAACCTTCTGAAGATCGCTAGCAAGAAATGCAGTTTCAGGTGCGCCTATGCAGCCCTTTTAAAATGAATTCCTGCTTTCGAAGTCGAAGTTCTGTCCCTTTGCAGTATAGCAAAGCCCCGGTCACCGGCGCCCTTCTGAAGCATCCGGGTAAAAAAAAAACAAGGAAATTAATAGATCCCGCCTAAAGGAAACCGAAAGGAGCCACTCCAGGCCTGCTTTGCATCCCTGCCTGCGGGAGCTTGCTCCTTCCATGGAGCGGTGTCGAGTTAAGGGATATCAGTAGGGTCCTTGGGGGTTCGTGCTTTGGGGGTTTACGGCGTTGAAGCGAGGGTCTTCGGTTTATAGGCGCTGAAGGACAGGATCCCGGCAAAGTAGGGTAAGCTAGATCAAACATCGATTATACCGGGACCCGTTAAGAGAGCCCTGATGGCCCGTAATAGTGGGCATTTGGGGTATATTAGACTCCCGGATTCGGCATACGGTAACATCTACCAGGAATCTACCAGTCTATCTATCTATCTATCTATCTATCTGTATATGTGTATGTATATATAACGCAAGTTTATGATGATACGGCAACTCTACGCTGCGATGCCACATGGAGGCATTCGTCAAGGTGCTCTGTTTGCTGGTGCTTTTCTGATCGGTGGAAGCATTGGATCTCCCACCAAAAAAAGTGCACGTCAGGACCAACCTCCACTAGTACGGTGATAGGTAGGGCAAGACGCTGGATGCTGAGGCCTTCAACACTGACCTCTGCGCCTAAATCGCAACCACTGTCTTGGACTCGCCGTCTCACTGAAAACAGCCTGAACACGAAGAAGTTCGATGCCAAACATCTACAGCGCTATGCGAAGGCCCTGAAGCCCGAAACTTCCCAAAGCCGTGGTAGCACTCCAATAAAGACCTACAAATCCAAAGGACGTCTCTCTAGTTCTGTATACTCTATGTACAAGCCCTACTGTATCAACACTTAACTCCTCCAAACTCGAGAGTCCCAAATCCCTGTCCCGAAGCTATCTAAAGCCAAAAAGACTAAAGCCTGAACCCCCTAAAGTAGTAACCCTTACAGTATCGTAACCCTAAGTTTTAACAGGAAACCTTACACATAGCCCTTCTATACGCCTCGTAGGTCCTAAAACCTCTGAAAAGGAATCCCTAAAACCCTAAACCCAAAAGCCTTTACCCTGAACCAGGCATCCTAAACCCTTTTAGACCCATGACAGCCTTAACCCTAAACCAGGAATCCTAAACCCCGTTTAAACCCATGCCAGGAGTCCTAAAACGAGACAGGCCTGCAGCTGGGTTCTGAGTTCCTTCGTCACGGCTTCAAGCTTCGAGAACCGACCCTCCAGCTCCTCAGCCTGGGTTGGGGCTAAGGGGCTCAGAGTTTAGGGGTGTTTAGGCCTTAGGGATGTTGAGGGTTTGGGGATGTTCAGGGTTTAGGGCTAAGGAATGTTTATGATTTACATAGGGCTTAAGTTCAGGGTTTAGGGTTGCGTTTACAGCTGAGGGTTTACTGGTGCTTAAGCGAGGGTGGAGGAGGGAATGTAGGAACTACTACGAGGGATTCTGGAGGGACTGCTAAAGGGAATCATGCTCCCTCTGCCCCTCAAGCAACACTAAAAAGCTCTTTGGGAGCTATGCAGGGATCCAGAAGCACATTTATCTGGTTTCTTTACGGGCTTATTGCGGTAAGGGTGACTCTGGGGCCTTGGGTTCTTCGAGTCTGGGAGTTTCTAATATCGGGATTCGGGATGGGGCTTTTGTGGGCTGAGGTGGTAAGATCAGAAGGACCCTTAGGGGGGCAGGGGACTAAACTTCCTTAAACTTGTGAAGTCCTTTTGTTAGGTATCAAGTGCCCTTAACCCCCCTCCCCCTACCCCCCCCCACCTTAAGGGTCCTTATGGCAAGAGCTCAGAGCTTCAGAGGCGGGCCGGGCTCCGCCAACCCAACTTGAGGTTTCGGGCTCTCAAAGTTAGAGGATCCAAATTGTATCTCTGGGGCATACTGTGATTTAAGGCCTATCCCCGTAATTCCCTTATAGATCCCTTTAAGGGTCCCTTTACGGAGCCCTAAAGGGTACATATTCCTTAACTGTGCTACACCTTAGGAATTCATGATTCCTTCCTTCTCCCGACATCGTCGTCACCAGTATCATCATTAGAAGCACCATCGACAGCGTAACCTTCTAATTTCTTCATCATCATCATCAGCACAGAGCCCTGCGCTGCTCCAGGTTGCCTCGAACTGCTTCATCCGCTGCTCCAGCCGCTTCTGTGCTGCCTGGTGCGATTGCGCGTTCCCTCTCGCCACAAATCACAAGTTCAGCCGGAAGTACCGCAAGTAGTCAAGCCAGAGTCGATCTATGTGTATTGGAAGAATAATGTATCTTATGGAGCCCCAAGGAAATAGTAGAATAGTATTGGTAAATATTCCGACCCCTATATAAGCTGCACCGTGAAGCCTCGTTGTGAGCCAGCCGTGCGCTGAAGCCCGACAGCTCCGTCCCTGCAGCCGCTTTTGCCAGGCGCTCCTCGCAGCCCAAGATTTGGAGGTTTAGGGGTTTAGGGCTTAGGGGTTTAAGGGTTTAGGGATGTTTAGAGTTTAAGGGTTTAGGGGTTTAGGGTTGTTTAGGGTTCAAGGGTTTAGGGCTTAGGGGTTTAGATTTCAGTGTTCAGGGGTTCAGGGTTTAGATTTTTCTTTGTGAAGGCCCGCTGCAGCCGAAACCAGTAAGGAAGCCCTCTGGAGGCGGAAAACGTGAAGAAAGTAGGTTTAGACAGTTTTGAGTCTTTGGGTTCACGCAACACAAAACCGCGGGTACGGAGCTTGGGGTTTCGGTGGTTTCTGTCGCTGATTGCAAGCGGCCTCTTAGTTTATGGAGTTAGGTCTCAGGGTTCACCAGAACCATCTTGGGGTGGACGGCCGCTTGCCGAAGCTTCTGATGCTCGAAGCCTTCCGAAGACTGGGCCCCTAGACCCCAAACCTCGCAACGCTATAGAAACCGCTTGAACATCGAAAACCCCAAACCCTAAACTAAACCTTGCTCGAATATCTGCCTCCACTTCGACCACGGCTCGCTCCAGAGCCTGTTTCGGAGACGTCTTCGCTCGGGAATGGGTCAAGGCTTTGGATGCTTGTACCGTTTTGGAAGTTCTGTGGCTGAGGGTTCAGGCTTGAGGAACAGTGCTGCCAACCTTGCTTTCGGGTCTAGTTTTGGAGTATAGGGAGTCCATGGCGGATGGGCAAATGTTGCGAAGGTACTAGTTGGGGATTCGCTCCCAGATACCTTACCTGTGTCGCCAACTTGAACGACCCAAGATGCAGCAGTGTAGGGGCCTTCATAGATACCTATATACCATTTTGGGGTTCGCTATTATAACTATAGTATACTGGGCCCCAAAACCCTATTAAAATTACAGAACGCGTCGAAATACGGGCCTGCGTTTATGTATATTTATGTTTAGGCTTGTACGCACCCTCCAAAATTATTCAGTCCCCTGTATTAGCTCCTCTATACTTCGCAACGAAAGGGTGGGTGCGGTTCAAAGCTGACAATGTCCGAAGCTCAACTGGGGATTAGGGTAGGAGTTTCACAGCCTCAGGTCAAGGAGTGATAACTTTACGGTTTAGGGTTTCGGGATGTGGGCACAGATGATGTCTCTAAGGATACGGTGTACAGGCACGTATGCACACAAGGCTTTGAGGGTTAAGTTTGGGACTTCGTGTTTTGGGCTGTGGGCTTGTGCTAAGGCTGCCCAAGGATGTCCTACGAGAACTTCTAGAGCATCTGTGTCACGTCGACGGGGTCTCAAATTTGAAGGCAGTTGGTTGACGGATCTTGAAACCTAACCCGAGGCCCTCAGCCCCGAGTTCACGGAGTTGTGGTAAGTATTGTGAGAATTGCCAAAAACCATCACCCCATAAGCACATAATAACTATGTATTTATTATCCAACCACACACACACACACACTAGATGCGTTGTAATACTCACAAACTTCCAACATTTCCAACCTTCAAACTCATGTACGGTGTTTGCGGCATATCCGAGTCTTGTGTCAATACAGGGAAGCAACCTCTAGAGTCGTGTGGAAGATGGGGGTGTGGATCTTGGCGGTGTGAATGAAGAACTTTTTATATGTGTACATACACAAACATACGTATATACATACATCCAGCCGAGTTGTACATGCAACTGCTTACTAAGATCCCTGTGGGTGCTCTGGATTGCTCGCCTGGAGCCGCGTGGTGCTCTGGGCCGTCTCATGCACGCAGCGGCCGTGCCTAGGTGCACAAAACTCTGAACTGTCCAGCACAATATGATACCCCGCTTGAAGGTTAGAACAAAGCTTTGGGGTACTGTACATTGCAGTATATATATGAAGGAGGCAGTATAGAGATTTTCAAGCATTTGATACAAGTTTCTGACACCACTTTATTGCAGGACCACAAGTTAACATTAGTACTTCCATGGATTACTACCTCTCAGTCTTTATATTTCTGTTAATTGCTCATGCAACCGGCGGCCATCGCTGAATCTCAGGCCCTGGCGCCTCATTCTGGCTCTCGCAGAAAGACTTCTGTGCATCCGCTGTCTTCAGGGCCTGAGTTAGGGTTTAGGGGTCTAAATGATTTTTTTTTTAGACGCTCCTTTTCTGTTCTGCGGGGTCTAAATGATTAAGGGTGAGGGTTTAGGGTTTGGAACTGCTGCAAGGCTTTGGGTTTTGAGGTTGGCGGGCTTCCATAGGGATTGAGAAGCTCTAGAGTCGAAAGATTCGTGTAGGGTTTGTGGTGCTCTGCATTGGGCTCCAGAAGTTGTCCTCCCTGAAGAGCACAACTCAACTCAAACAACTCAAAAACCTGAAGCACGTCGGGTTTAGGGTCTGAGGGCATTTGGGCTTAAAGCTGCAGGGCTTTGGAGTTTTAGGGCTGGAAGGTGTCGGGTTCAGGGTTCGTGGCTGTTCGGTCACGGCTATGGACACCCCCAACTAAGGACCGCGAGGGTCGGCGGGGTTTGAGCCGTATCCGCCCTGCCCCCGAATTGAATCCTAAACCCGTAGGCCCTAAACCACAACCCTAAACCATGAACCTTGAAGCCTGAACACTGTCACAAAGTTCAAGCTCAGGGGCCAATCTCAGAGCGCGTTGCGCACCGGCGGCCAGGGCTGCCTCGGCAAGGTCTAGGCCACGGCAGTAGTTCTAAGTCTTCTAAGTTCAACGTCATGGCCACTGACAGATCATATTGCGTAGAGCTCACAATGTTTGCAAACATCATGTCAATGCTGACAGTCACAAGACTCGTCCAGAACCAAAAAAAATGCTCTCAGTCTCCGCATTTTGGAGGTTTAGACTCTGGAGATCGCGCTACCGGTATCAGCAAAAAGGGACTGGTTTCAATGCCCGCGTACTCATGGACTAACCCATTCAAGAAGAACAGCTGCCATTGGCCATCCATCCACATTGCAACTACATTCAAGTTATGCATACCACGTATATTCCACGTAGACCCTCGGCCGATTTTCATCGAAACTACACAACTTCTCTTGCAGCGAAAGACTGAGGACTTCTCACGAGAGCAGGTGGACATGAGCTTACATACACTGTGGCTCCGTCTTACACTGCAAGAGCCAACTACCATGAGGATGGGTGAGCTTGAAGATGCTGTTCATGTAGGGGCATTGATAATTAGAATAGGGTTTGGGGGCCCGTAATACTATAAAAATAATAAGGAACCCCAACAATAGTATAGGTAATTGGGCCCGTATATTACGTGCCACGAGAAAGCACCCTGCAATATTGGCTCCTAGGCTTGGATCTTATGCATTCGCTGGACGTCCCGGAAGCATACCGCTATGACCTGCGATGGTGCAACATCCGATACGAAATTCAGTGTAGGTCTATTGATCCATGTGTCAACTTCCAACCCACAGCAACTAACAGCCAGCCACGCAATAGAACATTGCTTGATCATCGTCGCAACGACCACAGTCTGAAATCACCATCGTGAGCATCATCACATGCCACAGAACCATCATAATCAGACTTCATGCGAACATTATCATCCACTCATCTGCATCGTCATTGTCATGGTCATCCACGGCGTCATCGTTGGCACCGCAATCGCAGTCATAATCGTCATCACCGCCGTCGTCTGCCTAACCCTCGACCCTCAAACGGCTCCATCCTGCCCCACGAAATGCTGCCGAAGTTCCTGGCTTCGCTCGATGGCTTGCAGCCTCCCAGAGCACAAGAGGTGTACTGCAGGGGCCTGAACAACTAGACTCTAGACAAGTTGTTTGGTGTGGTTTCATGCTGCAAGTGCCTCGGGGATGGTTTGGAAACACTTCTTCTAACAACTCATCGTCGCATCGTGTTTGGTGTTCTTCGGCCAGTTTCGGGATAGGACTTCATGGGTAGGATTCGGCTAACTTACGTTGCCAAGGGAGGATCGACCGCGCATTGCCACAAAAAGGTCGGAAATCCGGCCCAAACCCTAAACACCGTAAACCCCTAACCGCAAAATCCTAAAAACCCTAAACAAAAGCCCCAAACCCCAAAAACCCTAAACCCGCCTGGCAGAGAGGGAGTCGAAGCAAACATCCACCCTCGGAGTCTGCCAGGCTCACTTCCTATACCCCCCTTAAAACCACAATAACCATAATATATATATATATATATATATATATATTTTTTAATATTCTCTTGGGTTCTATATGAACAAAAGATAATTCCTAAGGAGACTATAGCTTCTGTATGATTTTCTTGCTTTATGATACATGTCCGTCTGCGCGAATACATCAAGTTTCCGGGGATGGAGTTTAGGATTTAGCAAGCTTAGAGAGGGTTGAGTCTATTTGGGGAGTCTCAAAGGCTTCAGTGCTCGCTTTGGGGGAGTTTGGGGTGCGGTGGACAGGCCGGCGGACCGCGGCTCTCAACAAGGCAAAGGCGAGCCTCACTCACGATTCGACAGCTGACGAGAGGCCAAAAGGGGGTTTTAAGATTCTTGGGGTAGGGGTTCCTTAATATGAATCCTATTATGGGAACCCCAATCCCTACTAAACCTCCATAGGCTAAAACCCCTGTTGGCCTCCTATGAACCGCAATTGCAGCTACACCAAAGCGGTCGGGTTTTTGGGTATGGGGTTGAGTTTCGAGTGTACCTGCTGAACTTGTTGCAGACGTGGCGCGGCGCCCGGGATGTCCGAACTTCCTGTGAAGCCCAAGCACAAGAGCAAGCATGCGGCACATGTATACTTGTATGTGTGTATAATTTTTTTATTATGTATATATACGATAAATACCAACAGGCAGCCTGTTTGTACAGTCATGAATATGTATGTTGCGCTTTATCCTGGTGCGCAGCATCACTTTTTGCAAGAGATTCTCCTGCTCAGTCTTGTGCACTCTGGCTATTCAGGCCCCTGCACTACGGAATGATACGTGTAGCACACTGAGAGCAGATTCGTAGGTCTCTTACACACATAGCAAGTGTTTCTACAAAAAGAAGCTTTGGCGCACCAGCCACCTGGCCGTTGGCTGCAAGAGGCTGGGCGACATCTTCTACCGAGGCCCCATCGTTTCATCATTAAATCCACATGTGCCCAAGGATCGAAACGTGCATTGTTTATGGCCTTTGGTCCGCCGCAGCCATGTCATGTAAGGCTGAACGGCATCCTGATTCCGACGTCCTACCTCCAGAAGTCAACATCGATCTAGTGAAACCAGCAATATTAATCTGTCCCCTTCCCTTCATTAAGCCTGGCAGAACTAAACACTCATTCCAAAACTAAACACTCATTCCAAATCCCCTACATTGAACCGCGGTCGCCAGAGCTCAACGTCTGTCCCAAAACCATCTACACCCCCGAGTCAAATCAAACTTCAGGACCTTATCCTCAGATTCTAGATGCAAAACTAGAGCATCAAAGTCGAACGCCAACAACTGAAAACCCTGAACCAAAAATTAAATGCACACCGCCTACATCTGCATATCTCTAAACTACAACTCAAAAGCACCAGCCCAAATATAAAGTCCCAAAAGCACCAATGTAGAGGTTGAATAATTCGACTACAGGCCATGCTACGAAAAAAGGAAAAAACGACCTAAAAGAGTAGTGTGTTATGACAGATACAAAAAAGCTGCGCCTGATCTTCCTGAAGGCCTTGCAAAGTGCTCTCCAACCTAGGGCTTTCCGCCGGAAAGGTCTCAGGGGTGGAGCTTTAGGGAGTTTGCGTTTGTGTTTCTTGTTTGTGGAAGTGTTGGGGGGGCGTGGGGGGAGGGGGGGGGGGGGGGGTTTTCAGGATTTCGGATCCTTGTGCTTGAGTGTACTCGGACTGAGTTCCGAGTGTCATAATGCAACCGCCCATGGTTTCAGAACTGCTTCAGGGCCTTGCCTGAACCCTAAACGTGTAGCGGGTGGGAAGAGCCGGAGCCTGTCACAGCGGCTGGAGGAAAAGCTTTGGACATCGTACTCGCAACAAACCCCACAAAGCTCAGCTTGGCCGTAAACCGTGGCAATGTCAGGATTTGGAACAAGCGAGGGGAAGTCTGAGCTCAAACCTACATAACGCCTAAGTCAACCCTACATAGGAGATGCGGCAGCAAACAGGGGTCTACATAATTGCCTGTAGTCCCAACATACGGATACCATCCCGTAATACCACTACATCGTCCCGTCTCGTAATACCACTACATCGTCGTGCTCACATATGTCGGAGAACTCGTAGTACAACCAAGGACAAATTACGTTGTGAGGCCTGGCCAGCGGAGGAACCAATACAAGTTTTGAAGCTTTGAACGTAAGGGTAGTTCTCTAAACTAGGGTCAATTTCGAGGAATCAGGAACCCAGAGGAAGGCAGCACCGTCATAAAAGGGGCCCTAAACGAAACCCTACTTTAGAGCACTACCCATGTACTCTTCTTCTGTGCCGACAGCGGACATATATACATATATAGTGGGTGTGTATACTTAAAAACGGATCTGGAGAATAAGAATGAACATATATATATATATATATATATGTGTATATATATATATATATATATACATATAAAGCCCCAGAGCCCTAAATGTCTAAACCCTAAGCCCGCCTCACCATGTGCCGCTGCTGGGCCAGTTGCTGGTCCTCGTGTCGTCGAACCTGGTCCCAGAAGCTCTTGGTTTTCAAGGTTTGGGGTTACTCTAAGGGTACGGGTACCCATACGGGTTGTAGGGTTTAGGGCTTTTGGGTTTTTTCGGGGCAGGGCTTGCATGATGCTTCCACAACAAGAGGATTGTAGTTGTCACAATTACAAGGCTGATAGTAGTAACAAGAACAACGGTGATTCTAGTGGAAAGTGCCATAATGGGCCATCATGATCCCGATTGAGAGAATTAAGGATAGTAATACTCATAATTAATCACGATGGTGACGGTGCTGACGATGATGATGACGATAGTCACAATGATTACTGTCTCGTTCTGGTCATCTCCAAGGCCAAGGCTTAACGATTGAGGGTGCAGTGCTGAGGGCTGGGGACTTCCCAAGAAGAGTTGATGATTTCGGACTTCAGATTTACGACCTACAGGTTACAAGACGAGCAAGGCGAAGGGGCCACACAAAGTCACAGACATTCAGCTGAGAAGTTCCCTATCGCTCCAATCCTCTCTTGGCTCCAAGGGTCGAGAAGATGCGCAGTCAGTCTCTGCGCACAAATCCGAGCGGGTTCTGTCAGGAGCCCCACTGCCCGCTCTTCATACTTGTTGTGGCGGGTACAGGTGCCTGTGGATATACTATCCCGGAGCATAAAAACTTTAAACCCGAAGCCCGAGACCAAAGTTTGAGAAGTGCAAAAACTCAGCAGCTGGACCAAAACCCTAGACCGAATTGTCACAGCCTCACGGCTCAGCCGCTGAAGTGACTCGCTGAAAAGCTCCAAGCGGATCTCGCTGTCCTGCAGGCTCAAGGTTCGCACTTCAACGCTCTAGGGAACGGTTTGGGGCTTTAGGGGCTGTTCATGGGTAGCTATGTGGGGTTATAACTAGCAACTATGATTATGACCAATACTGAAGGACTTAAGAAACCCTACTTCTGACTGTTCATGAACCTCGAAGGACGGAATAAGGACGGAATAAGGGCTTCGAGTTCGGGGTGGAGGCTTCACAGGGTTTAGGGTGCCTTTTAGAACTTAGGCTCCATTGAAGCAACCTTCAGGATCCCTCAAACAAAAACCTTAGAGCTCCGAACCGACAAGCTGGCAAATGAGTTTGAACACGAATGCAGTGCAGCATGTTGGTGCCGTTGTTGCCTTGAAATTTCTTGCGCCGCAGATGTTGTTCCCGCCTGTTTTTGTCTGCTGCTAGCCGCTTCCTGAACATCCATGCGACCACCTCCCCATTCCGGGAATGGGACCCTGAACCCTAAACCCTAAACCCTCAACACATCAACCCTAAACCCCTAAACCCATTAACCCTAAACCCCACACCCCTAAATCCTAAGACCCTCAACCCCGAATCCCCCCACAGCGCTAGTGTTTTGGGCCTGGGGTCCCCAAAGCTGGGAGAGACTTGCAGGTTCGTGGGTTTCCGAAAACTAGGGGTACCTTAGGGTTCCTTTAAAGGGGTACTATGAGGGTTCTATAAAGGGTTTAGGGTTTGGAGTTTTCCGAAAATTCGGGGGGTACCTTGTTTTGTGGTCCTTGTAATAAGGATCCTACATTTTAGGGTACTAGATTAGGATCCCCTATTTTCGGAAACTCCCATAAAAGTAAACGGGGTCATGAGCAGGGTAGCTGCAATTATAACCCATGGTACGGGACGTATAACCCTACCAACAACTACGGCATGTGGCGAAGGGTTTTTGTGTAGGTTTGATTGGGGTTTGGGGCTGGAGAAACGCTCGAAGGTCGCATCACACCTCTCGGACAGGATCACCGTATCCGACATGTGCTGAGTAGAGTACACAACCCCGATATCGAATTTTCAGCGCTGTCCTACAGTATCACAGCCACGAACCACTTCCCTGCCTCTGTAGAAGCCTGATTAATTCGCAATACTGTGTGCTTGGTCTGCTTGCTTTAACTCTTATACGATAATGTACCCCCTAAACCGCAGCCAAGTTCCTGGCCTCGCTCGGGGCGCACTGGCCGTAAGAGGCCGGCGACGGGGGCACGGAGAACTGAAGCGAGGGAATCAGAAGCTTCGGGTCAGTGGGAAGGGCTCTCTGCTCGAAGCCGTAAGAGCAATGATGCAGTAAATGAAGGGATATCTAGACCAACAGGAAAAGGAACATGAATGGCAGTCATGCTTGCAACAAAACAAACCCAACTGCTCGCGGAAATTGTCCCGGTCACAACTATGCTACCTATGTCATCAGGTCGAAATGGTCGAACAGCACACCCACACGTGATCTATGCCTCTTATCACGGATTTGCATATCCCGTAGTGCATCTCAACAGCAGGATGGTACCTCAAAGCCTGAAAAATGTGGTAGCACGATCTGATTACCCTAAGGCTCCAAAGTAGTTCCTTTTTGGGGCTCATATATAGAATCCTATAAGGTAATCCCAAAAAGGAACTACTATGGAGCCTCCGAGTCGTGAATGTGAACATCATGCGAAGCGCAATCCGAACCCCTCCAGGCCGGCATCCAAGAAACATGGAGGCCCAGTCGATGCAAACTTTATGTGGATGTGTATGTATGTGCATATACATTTATGGACAGCATATTACATTGCCGTACACTATGCCATATTACGTTATGTTTTATGATACGATATACTATACCATACTGTAGTATATCACATTATACTCTTATGTTGTCTTATCTTATGTTGTGTTATATTAAAATACATCATACTGAATTGCATTATAAAAGGGGTGTTATGCTGTATCATATTATTTTAAACTATATGATATTCTCTGATATGATACTACGTTATCTTGATTTATACCTTGCTATATTACACTGTGTTATACTTTATAATAAGATATGATGTGGTAGATATGTTATGTTGTGTTCTGCATTATTTTTGTGCTGCTATGTGCTATGCTATGCAAATTATGTTATACTATATTATCTCATATTATGCCCTATTGTCTGATCTTACTGTTCATTGTACGATACGTCATATGAAGCATGAGGCATTTCACGCTATATATTCCATATTCTATTATCTGTAACTGTTCTATATTGGATCAGCTGTATTATGTAATTAAAAACGAACCTCAAACATACATATATGTATATACAACATACAAACAAACAAACATACATACATACATACATACATCAGCTACCTAAACTTTCAGACCTGAACCCAGCACTCCGCAAACACGCGCCCTGAACGGAAACTCCTGTGACCGCCTCTATGCCCCGCACGACGGCCTGTGATGGCAAAGGCGAATGCAGCGAACGCAGTGAAATCGGTCGAAGGCCTCGCCACAGTTTAGGGTGTGGAGATTTCAACGATGGAGTAATGTAGGGGCCGTAATAGTTAGAATAGAGTTTGGAGATATATTAGACTGAAATTATAATAAGGAAGCCCCAAAATAGTATAAATTCGTGCTTTCCGACTCTCGTGGACAGGAGCTAGGCCATGCAGAGCTTCTGGGCTTGCAGTGCAGTAGGTGCTGAGTTGAAATAGGCTTAGTGTCGCAGGCGTTTTTTCTGTCAAGCATCGGGTGTCACCACAGTATTTTGCAAGGACTCAGTGGCTTCATGCAAAGCGACTGTGTGGACTAGTTGGGCACGGACTCCACCTCTGGCCAAGCTGTGGGCCGCAGGTGAATACAGGCAACTTCGCTTAGGGCAGTGCTGGCGACTTGGGAGTCGAACACATCTAAAGCTCAACGAAGGGGGACCCCTTTGAAGGCTTGCCAGCTCGTGGACATGCCAACTCCTTCCGACACCGACTTCGGGCATCGAGCTGCTAATCCAGCCTCGAAACCCCAACTCGTCCCGGCACTTGGAGGTTCATGGGTATTTGTAAGCGGGGTGATAAGTAGAGTAATTACACTTAAAACTCATATTGGGGGACTTATGACCCTACTTATAACTACCCATGAACCTCCAAGTAACCCTAAACCCTACACCGTAGACATCGAGCATTTGCATCATTGCCAAGCCGGGCGCCTGGACCCGGCTCGCGGCTGACTGGGCCCATGCCCTTGCACTTTGCGATGTTAGAGAGGCATGTTCAACGTGGTGGTGGGATTCAGGCTTTGAGGTTCAAAGTTTTAGGGTTTAGGGTAGTCAGTCATTCATGGGGGATTCAGGCTTTGGAGCTTAGGATTTAGGGTAGTGCTGGGACTCAGGCTTTGGGGTTGAAAGATGTACGACCTTGTAAGACATGCACGGCAATGCATGAAGCGGAAAGCAGCAGCTCGACTGCTTCTTGAAACCAGGCTGTTTTGTAAATGTTTGTGTATGGATATATATATATATATATATACACTTAAAGTTGCACCCTAAACAATGAACCCACATATACATATAATCTCTACACATACGTAGACATACACATATACATATATATATATACACACATGCTTCGATTGCAGACGGTGCGCTGTGACTTAGAACCTGGCACAGGCCAGTGCCTCCTCGATCAGACCTGCAGGTAAACCACCCATCAAGCTGCTGAGGCTCGCACATCGTACTCACAGCTTTCGTTCAGAACAGCCACCATGGCAGGGACGAGCTGTGCACCGATTTACGCTACGGTATTAACGCGTGCTTGCGATTCTTGAGGGTACTCTTTGGAGTCTCCTCGTGAAGTGTAGACTTCAGGCGTCTCCTTTTCTTATGTGAGGCTCTGGAATGACATAATGACTTTCCACCAGACTATGAAGCTGGTGCTCACAGTTGGGTACTATGCCATGCCCATCATGCGTGCCCTCAGCTGCTATGAAAGCATCGTGGCAATTAGCAGGAGGTTCGTGGCATGTGGCTTCGTCCTGTGGCCATGTGCTTTTGGTGTTCAGCTACATTGGCGATCATGGCTGCGCATCAGCAAGAACCGTAAACCCTCGAACCTTTAAACAAGCTCTGAATGAAGGACAGGGTCGCGCGGACTCAAGCTCCATGACCACAGCCTACAAGACCTCGGTGCCATCCTCAACTTTCCAGGGGCGGAAGCACTCTGAGGCCCATAAACCCTGTAAGCCCGATACCATTAACCGCCAGGCTCTAACCCCTAATAAACCCCAGAAGCCCCATAAGCTCAAGAACCCAAACTGATCCGTTCTCACCGAGCTCCCTGCGCTACCCGACCTGCTCCCAACAGCCTCATCTCTGGCCTCCCGCAAGCTACCATTTTGTGGCAGTTCTGGTGCGTTTATTTGGGGGTAAAGGGTAAAGGGTTCTGTAAGGATTTCATTATCAAGCTTTCATAGAGTTCTATCAGGGTTTTAGAACAAGGTTTCTGCAGGGTTGTATCAGGATTTTTCTGGAAGGCTTGAATCGGGTTCAACGAGGCTAGCTGTGATTTTTCGGGTCTCGGACGGATTTCCCTGCGGCGAGCTGGGGTCTTTCGGACTTCAGTGTTAGGCTTGTTTTCTTGTACCTGTGACAGCGGACTTTCGGGTGTTTGGCTTCAGGGTTAATTAAGGGTTTCGGATTTTCGGGTTCAGGGCTGCTGGGTTCAAGGTGCAGGGTTTGGGATTCGCAGGCTCATCCCGTTTGGGGCATTTGGGGTGAACGGTGCAATGTTTGCACCGGGTCTTCAAGGTAAAGGGTTCGCCAGGTTTGGGGTAGAGTAAGAGTCTACCCGGGTAGAGGCGGAGTCCCTTCCAATTCTGAGAAATCAAGTGCGGAGGAAGAAAGGCTTTGTTGCAGCCTGCAGCCTACGTTCTGAAAACTGAGAGAAAAGTAGTAACTAGTCTACAAAAGTAGGCTGCTTGATCAAGGCTCTAAATCTTCTGGCACGATTAATACATGAAGATAGACTAGTGAACTATTCAGTACAGCAGCTGCCTGAGCCAATATAAAAGTGGGACAAGTTTGCAATCGTACCCCCTTTTGCAAAAACTTCATACTTGCACCACACTATACCTCAAGACCTTATTGTGTTCATTAAGGCCCTCACTGTATGCTACTGTTGATGATATAAACCCTGCATTACCTTAAGGACCCCAAACTATGGGAACTATGGTATATTCCTTGTAATGGGTAATGCAGGATATCTATCATCAACCCTAAACCATAATGGATCCCTTGTAGATCCCATTAAAGGAAGCCTTATACCAACCAACTTACCTTTGGTTAGGAGGGAATGGAGGAATGGGGTACAATTATAACTACTAGGACTACCATTCTTCCATTCCCTACTAACCAAAGGTAAGCCAAGTCCTGCCGTGCCTTGATTTGGTGCTGCCTCGAAAGGTGTTTTGTCGGTTTAGGTTTAGGGTTTAGGGTTTAGGGGTTTAGGGTTTAGGGTTTCGGTTCTGGCTTTTGGGGACCTAGCATAGGCCTGAATCTGGGGTCCAACAGGAGCCTGATTTCGAACACCCCGACTTCTCGCCACGTCTCTCCATGGTCTGGCTGAGACTTCGAAGTAGCATTTGAGCGCTTGCTAGCTTCCGCTATCAAAACTAGCCCTACAGACTTTGAAAAGCCGCTTCGGGTCAAGGGCTTGTGACCTCAACCTTACTTGTGCACGGCCTGCCTTCGAAGTTTGCTATAATGATCGCTCGAGCCGTTTGGGGCCAGAAGACTGCGAACACAGCTAAATCGATAGATAGACAAATGGATAGAGAGCAGTTTGGAGTTTCTCTCCCTTGGTCTCTTTCAGTCCCTATCAGTTGTCGGTCGTGTGCGTTGGTGCGTGTTCGCATGTTTAGGTGCTCTCTGCGTACCGCATAAACAACACCCCACAAGCACATCGCCAATGATCCAAGCATGGTCAGCCTTTATAAGCTAGTATTAAAGTCAGCACGGGGTTTGGCTGTGTATTGTACTATGACTATGCAAGAAATATGACCCTTTATAATACCTATCACGCCCTCATTAGAATCATTAGATCCTACACAGCCCTTGTAAAGCCCCAAACTTATATATAGGACCCTGCAACCTTTTTGTAAATCGGCGACCATCACTTGGAGGTATATGCGTAGTTACACATGGGTTTATGAGTAGGCTAACAACACTTACAGCCCATACTAGGGGACTTTCTAGCCCTACTTAGAGCCGCCCGGCCATGAACCTCCAAGGGATAGGGCTATAATTGGGGTAACCATACTTGTAACTACTTATCACCCCAATTAAGGTACTTATAACCTTACTTACAAATACTCAAGTCGCCGGGTGACAGCGACTCCGTGAGCCGATCCGCATCTTCCGCTGCCGATGCAGCGGCTGCGAGCTGCTCCTGGAAGGGCCTACCCTTGGTCATTAAGTTACCAAGGGATTCTGGGTTTAGGGCTTGCGAGGTTTAGGCCGTGGGGTTTAGGGGTTTTCCTTAAGGGTTTAGAAGGGGTGTAGGGTCCAGGAGGTTTCATGTTCGAAAGGATATGCTGCAGCCAGCAGACGTGTTGTCTGGTCGGTGTGCATGTGCTCCGGTTCTGTCGCGCTTAGTCTTCTCTCTCTCTCTCTCTCTCTCTCGCTTTCTCTCTGTCTATCTTCTCTCTTTTCACTTCATTCCTCTCTCCGTTCGTCTCTCGCACTCTCGGCATACATCTGTCCATCTGAGTGTCTATCTGCTTCCATATCAAGCTACCTGGGCATCTATCTGTGCATCACTGTAGCAGCTAGATGCCTATTTGCACATACGTAAGTACAGAGAGACACGCCGCATGCTGTAAGGATGTGACTGAGAGTTTCACGATAATCCTTGCTGCAGGCCTTGAGTAGCCGCCACGAGTCCCAAACGTCAGGCGTCAACAGTTAAAGTGATTGATGTTGGAAGCTCGAATGCCGCGATACCTACTCGCCTAATCTGAGCCTTCATAACATGCAAATCACAGGTAACATGTAACTCACTCGGTAAGACAAGGCGACTGCATCTCAGCTAAGCAAGGCTGACCTTACGGAGAACTTGCCAAGTCAAGATCGAGGCAGAAACTGGACTGTCCAGCTCAGGTTCTCAGAAAGCTCACAGATCGTATGTCGACAGCTGCGATCATCGAGCGGGTTGTGACTAGATGGAGAACAAGGGAATGCGATAAAATCAAAAATAGAATCGAACTATGCACAGGTGGCCCCGTCCTGCAACGCACGAGATGTGGCCTGACGAAAAAACCGGACATGCAGGCCATCGGCTGCTAATGCAGGGGCGTCTCTAGGGGTAAAATCAAGGCTACTATGAGGGTTTGATGATGTAGAGGCCTCAAAACTTAGAATAAGGTCTGGAGGCATATTGTACTATATTATAAAAAATGAACCCCAAACCCTATTCTAATTACTAAGACCCCTACATTTTTTTGCATTCCTTATGTTGGTTAACCGCGACCCAAATATGCGCAGGATACTCTCAGCCCAGACAGCTCAGAGATTGCTTCAGGCGTTCAGGAGTACCACAAGACAATCTAATTCCTCCCGATGCAATCTCGGAGAAGCTCGAACAGCAAAAAGAAATGTTCCTCTCGGTTGATCCTACTTTCCAAGACAGTCTGCAGAGTAACGACTGTAATAAGAAGCCGAAATAGTCTTGGAACTCCCTGTTCAATAGCAATATCTGCTTGCCCGAGCTGCGTCCGTCCCACGCGAAGGACTGGAAGCCGTGGCCTGGGTCATCGCAACTTTCATTTATCAAACATAGGGATTAGGGTTTAGGGTTGAGGGATTAGGGGTTTAGGGGTTTAGGGTTTAGCGCTGTGGGGACTAGGGTTTGGGGGCGTGCGGTTCGTCAGCTACGGAGTCCAGAGAGACTCTGTCTCTGTCCGACGTCCAAATTAAATGGGAGTTTCGAAAGTACGGATAAGCACGGGACATCACGGGACCATAGGGGATACGATCTTTACTTCGAGAGACGGCTCAAGAAAATGCCCCATGCTTGTTGGTAAGTGCAACCCCAAGTCAGTCTACATCCAAGTGAGGCTGCCTCCACCCTCCAACTCCCTGCCTTCCGAGAGATCATCGGATTTCCAAAGTCAACAATCGCGGACTTCTTGAATCGGAGGTACCATATTTTCAGATACTCTTTAAGGAGTCTATATATGCGTGGGTTCAACACTTTTTGAAATGGACCTCCTGCGTATGTTCGCGAGTGTGCATGTGCAGAATATCGGCCTGCCTATGTAGACATTCACACGTCCGGCGAGCTAGCGAGGCTAGCCAGCTGTCGGCCTACTTGTTGCATCTTTAGTTTCAGTGTCTGCGGGTTTAGGGTCTATGGTGGGGTCTAGGGTGTGTAGGTAAAGCTTCAAATCATGTACAAGGAGATCCTCATAAGCCACACCACCAAAGGTCGACAAAATCACGGCAGTCATGACTGTCTGGTTTCAAAAAGTGGTAACAGCTACGAAGGAAACTACTTGTCCGAGGAGGTTTCTCAAAGTCGCAGGGTCAGTGAGGCTATGCTGAAGTCTTGGATTATGGCCCCCAGCAAGGTACGGTTGTGAGCCACTGTTGCTTCTTGATGGCTGCCTCAATACCACACCTGATTCGAAACCGCCCCACATCAGTATCCCGGAATCTCCAGCTACCTAAAAATAACGGTTTACTGAGTTGTAACCGACCATTTATGATTAG